TTCTAATTTCTTTTAACTTGCGCTCTATATAGACCAAAGCTGTGAATTACTCTATGTAAAGAATGGTTAAGATTAAAATATTGCTTTTACATACATTTGAGTTTTATTTTTGAAATCTTGACTTCAAATTGGATGGTTGGTGTGGCAGTTTGTAACTGCTGTACCAGCTATCTTCGCGTCTGTTTGGACTTTATCACCACTTAACATCAGGTGGGGTAGAGTCATTTGCCTACCTGGCTATAAAAAAAACGAGTGTGCTTATGACCATACGACTGAAGTGACTTCTTTGGCTCCATATGTATGTACATATACGTATTTCATTTACTAACTATAAGAGAGAGAGAGAAAGAAAATATGCGCGTGCTCTGCTTTCTCTTGCTTATATCACCCACTTAACTCCCGTTCGCCTCGCGCGAACACACTTTTCGTAACGCGTAACTCATTCGCCAGCTTACCCCCCAATTCGAGCGTGCGTAAAGAAGTTTCAATTCAAAAATGTCTTATTTTAAGTGCTACTATACTTTAAATTTTAGGTGAAAGATATTAACTAGGAACTCAAAAGGCTATTTCAAAGCATGGAAAATAAAGTGCCAATTATTTTCATTTGTATTTAATATAAATATTAGGAGGATTAGTGAGCTCGATGGCGCAGGTGGTTAGCGCGTTTGCGATGTAGATGACAGTTGAGCAACTTTCGCAGTGGTCGGTCATTGAATGGGTGAGCATAAAGGAGATTGCTCAAATTGGCCTAAATGCACAAAAAATATTGACATACACGGTAATTCTTGGCGTAATTTATAATTTAATTTACAGTCATTAGTTTCCAACGGACACCTTTGTATAATATATTTACTTTAAAAAGGACTTTTAATTTTACCGGTTTGGAAAACATACGTATCGTTTCTAATGGCTATGGATGTAGTAACATTCAGCCAAAGACTGATCGAAGTATATAACATAAAAACAAATCTATTTTGTAAAGTTCGATAAAATAAATCATTTTTTTATTACACTGTGATATTAATATCCACAACTATATAATAATGTTCACTAGATGCAAATGTGCTCAGACAATTATTATAGATGGTAGGCGACATCATAAAGTCTATTGCCATACATTTTTCGCCAAACACCTCCATAAACACATTATAATCTGTATATATGTTAGACTTTAAGGTGTCTATCTATGGGCCTACGTTCCCTGACTATAAATTAATAAAATTATAAAGTGTGATACACTAAAAATCTATAATATAGTTATCTTAAAAACATAACAAAAATAATGAAGCTACTGAATGGTTATAGAACCTAAATCTCTTAGCTTTAAAAATTCTCTCTAATCTGTGGCTCATTCACAATTATCACACAGTTTCTGTCACAGAGTACCTTATTATACCCGGAAATGACATCTGATTTTAAAAGTTACTCTTATGCATTAACTTTAAAAACAGGCAACTATCTGTTAATCTACATGCTCTATATACCTGAATCTAATCCATAATTTCGGTACTTGGCTTGATTTCCCTAGTTTACTATATAACTTATTTGTTTTTTATTATTTTAATATGTTCAGTGCATATGGTTTATAGAAGTTCTTAGGGGTGTCCGTCAATAATATTCGTTTCTACAGTAATTTATATATAATTTCGAATCTAGGAAACAATTTTTCATGATTATTGGTCTTTAGGCCAAACATGTATGGAAGCTGAGCAATCTCCTTTACCATCTCTCACTCCTTCGTGCTTCGGAGGGCACATTAAGCCGCTTTGCAGACGACGGGGCGGGGCGGGCCGGTCAATTTCGCCGCGAACGATAGCACAAAGTGAATCCTATATTACAAACGCACACAGAGGGCAAAAAGACCGCGCCTTGGGTGCCCGGCGGGCAGTGGCGGCGCGGCATGTCCGCGGCTGCCCGCCGTGGATCATATAAACCAGTTTATATGCAGTAACGCAGGCGGCGGCGCGGGGCGGTCAGCTCACTCCGCGCCACGTGCTTATTAGTGATGGACTATTCACTAGAATGAACGTCCTGAACTGACCGCCTCTGCCCGTCGTGTGCTTTGTGTACGCGGCGCGGGCAGCCGCAGACATCGACGGGCAGACGTGGTTTTTATTGCTTCGCAGACAAAATGCCCGCCCCGCCCCGTCGTCTGCAAAACGCCTAAGCGTTAGCTCACACCGAAACGCGACGCGACGCTGCACGCTGCACAGAGCGACTCAAAACATAACTTTATTTATTACGCGAAAAGATACTCTGTCGTGCCGTCGCGTTTCGGTGTGAGCTGACGCTAAGCCGTTGGTACCGGCTGCATCTATCTGCATTCGTTAGCACCTGCCAATCCATCAATATATTATCGTTACTAATATTATTTATTGTAGAAAAAAAATTAAAGTTTTCGTTTCATTGTAGTTTTTTTTTCGTTTCATTGTAGTTTTCATATCTACCCTCAGGGCCGGATTTAGGATTGTGGAGGCCCCGGACCACTTAGGATTTGTATTCTTGTTGACCTATCGAAATGTTGTTATTTCTGAAGCTGTTGTGGAGGCCCCTGGGCCACAGCCCCACCTGCCCTGCCTTAAATTCGGCCCTGCGGGCAAGTACCACCCCACTCAGCCATTAAGCGGTTGGGGTACTCCCTCAAGATGGGTAGTGAATTGGAAGTGCTTATCAGGGCCATTTGAGATTTTGATATTTCACTGATTGCCTGATTGGAGTGAACAAATATAGATCAATGATTTCTGTTATTTAAGATTAATATAATCAAATAATCATGTATGTTAGATGTACAAAGTACTGTAGGTAAAGGTAAAAGTGCAAAAAAAATATCAAAGGAAAAGATGTTTTCTAGTGTTTACTAGTTGGAATTTGAAAGGTTTTTTTTTTCGAAGTCTCTATTGTGGGGGCCCCCCGTTTGTGGAGGCCCCGGGGCTTTCGCCCCGGTTGCCCTCCCCTAAATCCGGCAGTGCCTACCCTTTCAATCCAATCGACATCAAATCGCCGTTATTTATTTTTCCTTTTATTTTAAGGTATTTCCTTCGTTTTGGTATGAGTTTCATTCTGTTTCGTTTTATTTTGCTCTCAAAAATTATTGGCCCTGCCCCTAGCATGAGCACCGCCAGTGCCGTCTTTGACCTATTGGAGGCCCTGGGCATATTACGATAATGGGGCCCCTATGACCCCCGTTTGGTGATCTAACAGGAACTAGGGACTATGTATTTGATCCGAGGTGAGCCCCTATCGATGGCGGGGCCCTGGGCACTTGCTCAAAGTGCCCACTGGGAAAAAGGGGTCCGAGCACCGCGATTTGATGCATAACGCGTTTAGCCAATTGTAACCCATACCCTATCGACAGCTGAGAACCTGGATAAGGGAGCGCTGTCAACGACAACACGACGAATACTGGGCAAAACTCACGAACTGCAGGCAAGCTAGGGAAGCCGTTCCTAAGGTAAACCTGCAGCTAACACGTAAGTTAATCAGACTACCTAGATAAGCCCTGAAACAAATCGTGGGTATACTCACGGGTCACGGCTACTTCAACAAACACCTCTGTAATATAGGTATTTCTGACAGCCCTCTGTGCAGAGCCTGCGGAGGAGGATTAGGGTGATGCCAAACGAGCGTAATTTTGTGAGTTGTGAGTCGCTTATTTTCGGTCACTTACTTTACGTTCAACTGAATTTCTGTTGAGCTGCCATACGAACGTAATTTATTCAGTTACTATTAAGCGTTAGTACGGGGTGTTCGTGTCGTCGAGTGCAATGGATCCATTAAAAATATTGTGTATTTACGAAGTATATTCAGAAGATGAGGCCAGGAAAAGAAACTGGGTAAACCCACTGAATAGTCAGAGGCTGATATGTGGACAGTTCCATACTTTATATGAACGTTTATGTGCAAATCCAGATATGTTTAAAAAGTACTATCATATGTCATTACGTGTTTTTCAAGAATTATTACACCACGCAGCTTGTAACAAACTGTTGCTTCCCCACTCCCCTTCCTTGCCCTACCCTCACCCCGACCGAAATTCGGACGAGCTTATGCGCATTGAGTCGGCAGACAACTCATTTTGCGTTGTCGTGTGGCACCAACTGCCTTTTTGTATGAAACCGAATGCAGCAGAATTTCTGCGACCGAAATTCTGCGACTCACCACTGACAAAATTACGCTCGTTTGGCCTCACCCTAAGACGAGCACCCATGTCCTACTAGAGTGCAGAGGCGTTGCAAGACAAAGGACTTCTCTAATGGGAAGCCCGCGGACACTAGTAGAAGCCTGCAGCAACATCCGGCGACTGCTGAGCTTTTTGGAGGAGCTGGGATGGCAGGACTGATGCCAATCCCCACGCAAAATAGGCAATGGGTGTCGAGTTGCGGAAACAGCCCGCCCTACTACTAAGAAAAGTCTTTAATTTTAAAGAAAATCGCGTTTTTTTTCTAATTTGCTTCACACCGTTTGTGCGTTTAGCCAATGTCAAGTGTTAAAATGTTTACAAATAGTACAAATACTATAGCACTCGTGGTCAAAGTAATAAATCACGTCAAAGTAAGTGGCAGTCAAGTCAGTCACCCTTTCCCTATGTTTCAGTAAATGTGTGGGGATTTACTGGAACCTCCCCGTGGACTTCTTGAGGGAACGTCGAAAGACACTTTCCGCTATTTTGTTTTACTTGCCAACACTTGTGCATGTTCCCGAACACTTAGTGGTTAATAATCCACCATTATTAGACACTAACATCTACCATAACACAATTTTTAACAAGAAAAACAAAACTGCTAAAGTGACGCTTCCCGATCCCGCCAAAAAGTCCAAAACGCGTTTTATGACGCTCAATTGTTAATTTTTTTTAACTGTTTATCCCATCTTGGGAAAGGCAAAGATAGAGCCATACAGCCATCATCTTCATTTAAAATTACTATGGAGTTAGACGCGCTAAAAAACGTGATATAATATAAATTATGCTGGTCATGCTTCAGGGACTGGGCTACTTAGCGTGGGAAGAAATAACAAGCCAGATGTATAATAACATAATAAAATTTATTTGTACATAATGGTATTTAACAATCGTACACTAACTTATTTACAAACATCACTTAACTCTAGCTTATAATAATAAACTAACAATAATGATTTAATCTTTAGTCTAAAGATCCGAACCTAGATTGGCCTTCACCGCTGATAATAGAATGAACAATATTTTATCATGAATTTAGTATATTAACAAAAATAGCTCTTATTTCTACATACTAAAGGTTGAATATTAGGGATGAAGAAGGAGGTAAAGTATACGTTATTATAATAAGTCCGTAAGTTAGATTAGCACAAAATAATGCTTATTTATTTTTTCTTTTGACAACCAACGAGAAAAAAGGACGCGAAAACAAAAACAAACTAGCTTTTTCGATACAAAATTTGATGATGACTCTACGAATACGGTGCTATCGAAATTCATGCTTGAGCCTCAGCATTCACTAGGACGAGTGTACTTAAAAATGTTTAGTCAAGAGGACAAAACAATAAATTATATCACATAATTCACGAGGATTTGTCTCGTTTCTGGGCGTTAATGTTCCCCCGCGTGTGTGACCACGTGTAAGAGTCAACGCTACCCTTCGACTCGTGAACTTCCTTAACAAGCTCCGACAATTCACCCGCGTCGTAACCTATCAGCTGTTGGAGATCGCAGACAAACTTATACACGAACCTGGAAATAATATAGTCATTTGTACAACTTGGGTGATAAAATCAACGATATTAAATACCCTAGATACACCAACACGAACAAAATCGTGCCCGAAACCTGTCCACAAGGTACATTGGACGATCCACGGAGCTCCGTAAGATGATCGCGTGGTCAAAATCAATATAAGGCATTATTTTAAATATTGAAAGTAACCTTTAATAAATACTTTATAAGGTGTTAAATAAAACGCATGCATCAAATCAAGGACTTCTGACAGTTCGATGTGCAAGCTCGTAAAATTGTACGACTTATTGCTATATGCGGAAGAATTTAGACCTTAGTTCTTTGACTCTACGCGCAATTCTGAATACGCTGTTAGCATATAGCAGGTACGGACCGCGAGGAAAAGAGACGGCTATATTACCGATCATGTATGCATTTTAATATCACAAATATTTATAATTTTTATTTTTAAGCATGTAACTGCTTGATGTTTAAACCTAAAGAAAATATAACTAGAAAAAATTCAACGCAGACAGCAGAAGGGACTCGAACCCGCACCCTTCGCAATCCGGGCGAATGAACTTACTGCAATTATGCTACCGCGGCCCGGATAGCCGCGACGAAATTCTTCTAGCCATTCTTAAGCTGCAAGGCAGCGCCATCATTTCGCATTAGGTAACCCACAATGTCAACATATACACAGATATTTTCTATTAAATCAGTTTATAGTAAGTATTACAACAAAATTTGCTTCAAATGCGTTAAATTAACCAAACATTGATTAGATACCTATCGAAAAAACGACACTTTACGTATTGTATTTTAGTAGTGTGTAGTGTAGTATTTTTTTTGCATTTTTTCCCGGACCTATGCGGCATGTTGACTTTTCAACGGTCCGCGCGTGACTGTGAACCAAGAAGTGCTTGAGTGGAGTTCAAGCACTTCTTGATCGGGACACTTTTTGAGCGCTCGTAGTGTATCTAGGGTATTTAATACAGTGTATGATGCTATTTAGTTGCTAGTATTATTTTATACTATATTATTGTCTCGACTTGCTGATGCTGTTCTAATCAATGTGTTTTTAACAATATAATAATTGTGAGGTGCTGGCAGAATACCAGCGTCAAGTCAAATCTTGACTGTCACATGCTGAGCCACATACATTTTTGTTTCAATTAAAATTTATTTAATTCTATTTGTGTATTGTAGCAATAGGGATGATGACTAATTTTTTTTCTTCGTTTATCAGGTAGACTATCAAAAAGTATTGGACACATATTTTTTCTTTTATCACATAATATAAACATTGCAGAGATATATTGATTTGAAAAGTCGCATGGCGTCACGTTTGAGTACACTTATAAGTGAAAATTCACTCAAAAGTGACGTCACGAGCCCCTACTCCCAAACTTTGACGCGCTATAACTTTGTAATTTTTTGGTTGATTGCCCAAAGAAAAAATACGTGTCCATCATTTTTTGATCATCTAACTGACGGACTAAATAGAATTTCGTTTACGTACAGTGCGTCCCGTCATCATCGCTATTGTAGATTGAAACAAATAAATAATTTATTATTATCATTATTATCGTTGCTGTATGGGTAATATTTTTATGGAATTTCTACGTACCTTTTCCCTGTGACTTTGGCGATCATATCCCCGTCATAGTAATATCTCAGAGCTCGAGACAATTTCTCGTAGTTCATGGCCGGCTTGTGTTTCCTGGCGCCCCATAATCTGGCCACGCGTTCCGGTTCAAGCAGTTTAAATTCACCGTTATCACCTGGGTAATAACAACATATTGATTTAAATATCATACCATCTCTTATCTATTAGACAAGTCCGTCCGTCCGTCCGTCCGTCCGTCCGTCCGTCTGTCTGTGGTGCTGTTTCAGCGGCCAAACCGTAAGAGATAGATAAAGAGAATGTTTAAGTTATATGTTAAGAATAGTCTGATAAGACTACAAACCGGATTTGAGTAACGTAGCACTTCCGGTTTTCGAGAAATCACGAATTTCAAACGAAACCACACAAAATCTCCGAAGTTCTCAATTAATTAAATACATTTTTTTTTTAATTGGTGAAAATTTGGTTCACTGGTTTGCTAGTTGTAACTAAGTGAGTAATGGTAGCATTGGGGCCGTTCAAGTATTACGTAAGCACTATAGGGGGGCAGGGGGGTCTTTGTTTTGCTTATTTTTGATGACATTGGGGGGGGGGGGGGGGAAGGGGAGGGGGTTCGAGATAGTGATTACGTCAGCATCATGGATTCGGGTGCCATGGACTGAATAAGAGGAGCTCGATGGCGTAGGTGGTTAGCGCGTTCAGCTGCGATCGTTGAAGTTAAGCAACTTTCGCAGTGGTCGGTCGTTGGATGGGTGACCAAAAATTTTCTATCTCGAATTCCTCCGTGCTTCGGAAGGCACGTTAAGCCGTTGGTTCCGGTTGCATCTGCAATCGTTAGCACCCGCCAATCCGCACTGGGCCCGCGTGGTGGGTCATGGCCCGATCTCCCTATTCCATCCATAGGGAAGGCCTGTGCCTCAGCAGTGGGGACCATAATAGGCTGATGACGATGACGACGGACTGAATAATAGTAATTAATACGATTATATTTGTACCTTACTCTATGTAGAATACTGTGTCAATAAAAGTTTAAGTATGTTGTGCGTTAAAGTCCTCTATCCTAAGCCTATTAAAGTACTGCTGCTTATGAAGCTCATGAATCATTAAAAAAAATGGGTGCGTGTACTTATGTAGGCGCGTGAGAAGTTATCCTTCTTTGGCATCGTTTAAAATTAGTTTTTAATTGCATGCAAATAATTAATTACAATAAATTAATAAAAAGTCTGGAAAAGGACACAGTCAATAAAGTTCAGTTTTAATTTGAAAAAATAAATAAATAATCAAAATATTCAATTAAAATCGCTACTGAATATAATTTATTAGAACATATGTGATTTGCACTTGTATGAAACTCAAACACGTATTCCGAATATACAAACTAGAAACATGTGGATAAATATTATAAATCAGAATACCTATAACTGTTACTTTATTACAAAAAATAAAGATGTGGTTTTTGGTTCTACTACACCAATGGTCAAGAGATGGCGCTGTAGTCTCCTGAATCGCGCTTTGGTTCCGTTGTTCCAGATTAATAAATACTTTTGATAGGCCTTCGCAATGCAGTCGTTAGCACCAGTGATGCGCGCGCATCTTAAAATTTCACTCTCATCATTTTTTCATAACGCGCCTAAAGAAGTATAACTTCAAAAACAGAATTCATATAGGTACCAATGTTTACGTAAGCACGGGAGGGGGGGAGCAAGAACTTTGCCACGGTAATATTATCTATACAGTATTGTGACTCCGCCCTGTCCTTGAAAATATATGCCTACGGCCGAGCGCTGCGTTGGCACGCGGTAGGGCCGCCCGCCTACAGTATTTTATGTAGTTTTGTTTTTAACGCGAGTGTAGGTAGATTACTCGTTTGTCTCTTTTTTCATCCTAACCACTTATTTATATATTATTCCAGATATTTTGCCCGATGGAAAAACCGAAATACCTAAATATTAGAAACAAATTACGTACTAGTAGATAGGTATATAAAAAATATTCTATAAAGGTAAGACACCTTTCCAATATTTCAGGTACTTTAAAAAATGATATCTCTGGGTGTGTTATTGAAGAGTTCAAGCAACCAAAAACAGCAATTGTGCTGTTGTACGATATTGATCGTCGTTTGTTCTTTTCCATACTAAATTATGTAGGTATCTATTTGATTAAATCAAATATTTACAATACAAATCGCACGTTTAAGCACGGCTAACTGCTTAAAAAACAATTCGGTCGTCGCTGCGGGGCATTCGCGACTGGGTGCCCGCCGAGAGCCCATCGAACTCGAGTGGTGTAGGTATGACTCGCTTTCCGACCGTTTGTATGAAGATAGAATACTGTATGATATTATTACCGTGGCTTTGCTTACTTTTACTGACAAGGGGGAGGAAGGGGTAAATAATTGTAATAAATCTGCTTACGTAATACTTGAACAGCCCCATTCTGTGACTAAAAAATGAATGTGGGCGTGTACTAGTGTACACACGTAAGAAGTGAAACTTCTTTATGGCCTTATTTTTCGAAAAATGATGTACATGCAACTTTCCAGAAATTGGTTAAATAAAGTTAAATTAGATAAAGTTTAAACAAAAGGATTTTATTATCATAGACATGAATACAAAAAAGATTTCATTTCATTTCATTTCATTTATATGTTCATCGTCGTTGTTATTACCAAAAAAAAGATGGCGCGTAACCGAAAAAATGTGACGGTAAATTTTTTTCCAACGCCGATAAAGAAGTTTCACTTCAAAAAGTCCGGACTTTTTTCGAAATGTCAGGAATTTTGAAATTCCTAATTGGTTACCCTATACACGATATAATAAGTGGACAGTTCATAATTTATTATCTCTTATCTATTAGACAAGTCCGTCCGTCCGTCCGTGGTGCTGTTTCAGCGGCCAAACCGTAAGAGATAAAGAGAATGTTTAAGTTATAAGTTAAGAATAGTCTGATAAGACTACAAACCGGATGTGAGTAACGTAGCACTTCCGGTTTTCGAGAAATCACGTGATTTCTATTTCAAACGAAACCACACAAAATCTCCGAAGTTCTCAATTAATTGAACCTTTGGTTCACTGGTTTGCTAGTTTATTATAATTGTATAACCAACAAAATTTGTAACTTTTTTTTCATTGGTAAAAATGTAAACGATTTTTTTTCTTTCTCGATTTAAACAATCTGAACTACTTTATATGTTAAAGTGGAAACTTTTCTGATGTATTTTTGAAGTTATACTTCTTTAGGCGCGTTATGAAAAAATGATGAGAGTGAAATTTTAAGATACGCGCGCATCACTGTAACACAAAATTTTAACAGCATGAAGTTGGTCGCTTTAACGCATGAAGTTGGTCGCTTTAGCGACCAACTTCATGCGTTACTTTTGTGTTTACCGCACATTAAGAAAATCTACCAACAAAATAGAAATAGAATCTCTATTTAGTGGGTGCTAACGACTGCATTGTGAAGGCCTATCAAAAGTATTTATTAATCTGGAACAACGGAACCAAAGCGCGATTCAGGAGACTACAGCGCCATCTCTTGACCATTGGTGTAGTAGAACCAAAAACCACATCTTAATTTTTTGTAATAAAGTAACAGTTATAGGTATTCATATTTATAATATTTATCCACATGTTTCTAGTTTGTATATTCGGAATACGTGTTTGAGTTTCATACAAGTGCAAATCACATATGTTCTAATAAATTATATTCAGTATAGATTTTAATTGAATATTTTGATTATTTATTTATTTTTTCAAATTAAAACTGAACTTTATTGACTGTGTCCTTTTCCAGACTTTTTATTAATTTATTGTAATTAATTATTTGCATGCCATTAAAAACTAATTTTAAACGATTCCAAAGAAGGATAACTTCTCACGCGCCTATATAAGTACACGCACCCATTTTTTTTGTATATAAGATCTAGGTATAAGATGTTATTTCATTGATTTTTTACCAAATAAAGCTAAAATTAAAAAAAGTCTCGTATAAGGTGAATAAACTTTTGTATCGCTTCTCGTTGGCCGCACTTTATTATAGTATACTAGCGGCAGCCCACGACTTCGTACGCGTGGAGTTAGAAATAAAGCTTCACTGCTCGCTCCCCGTAGGTGATAGCGTGATAATATGTAGCCTATACGTTGACCCGACTTCTTAATAATATCCGTGCCAAATTTGAAGTAAATCCATGCAGTGCTTTTTGAGTTTATCCCGGACATACATACAGACAAACAGACAAAATTTCTAAATACTCTATTTTTGGCTTCGGTGTCGATTGTAGATCACACCCCAAGTATTCTTTTAAATAAAATATTCAATGTACAGTTTTGACTTTCCTACCATTTTATTATATGTATAGATTTTAGTATAACTAGCAAACCAGTGAACCAAATGTTCACCAAAACCTGATTTAAAAAAAAATGTATTTAATTAATTGAGAACTTCGGGGACTTTCTGTGGTTTCGTTTGAAATTCGTGATTTCTCGAAAACCGGAAGTGCTACCTACGTTACTCAAATCCGGTTTGTAGTCTTATCAGACTATTCTTAACTTATAACTTAAACATTCTCTTTATCTATCTCTTACGGTTTGGCCGCTGAAACAGCACCACAGACAGACGGACGGACGGACTTGTCTAATAGATAAGAGATTATGGATTACTTACCATGCCACCTGATGACGTCATAGTACTCGGCGCTAGTCAAAAGTTCCAGTAAGAACTGCCACAGTTGGATCTGTCCGTTGTTGCCATTGCGTGACGTAATGTACGTGGCTAGATCGTCCTCGCAAGATTTCAGTATTAACTGGAAGAAAGAAAATAAATCTAGTTATAATTTTTATCTTTTAATCATGTAACTGCTCGGTGCTTAAATGTAAAAAAAATATTACTAGAAATATTCCACGCGGATCAGGCAGCAGACGGGACTCGAACCCGTGACCTTCGCTATCCGGGCGAATGCACTGACCATTTTGCTACCGCGGCCCTGATGGCCGTGTCGAGTTTAAGTGAACCTTAGATTTAAACAAAAAGGGAAGATACTCGCGGCTCAAAAGTAAATAAATTGTGGTGCACGACCACAATTAGCTTTAGTCACAATCGGACATTCAAACACGCTGCATGTGCACTCGACATTTACTCAAATAACAATATTGCTTTTATAAAGAACACAAATAGTTCAAGATTAACTAACAAATGCCATGGCAACTTTTCATTAGCTAAACTATAAAAACATTTATTTCTCAAAAATCACAGTTTGCCATGAATGTTAGTTACTTTTCATCAAGAAAAGGACAACAATACAGCTCAGCCGTCTGTAGAGAGCAAGGGCGGATCCAGGGGGGGGGGGTCATGACCCCCCCTGGGCTGGGTACAGATGGACCAAACCCAGGGGGATTTTATTTAAGTACTTTCAATATTTAATATACCACGACTATATGACCCCCCCTGGCGCCAAAGCTGGCTATATGACCCCCCTGGCACCAAAGCTGGCTATATGACCCCTCTGGCGCCAAAGCTGGCTATATGACCCCCCCTGGCGCCAAAGCTGGATCCGCCCTTGGTAGAGAGTAGGGTTGCCACCCGTACTTTAATATAAAGTATTGTACGTTATTTCGGGTAATTGTACTCTATACTTTATGCCAACAATAAAGTACGCGAAATTACTTTATTTAATCTGATTTGATTACTCGGTGATTAATTTTACATAAAATATACAAAAAGAGATTGATAGGAAGAATTTTTGCGTAAAACGAACAGAAAGTATGAATATGTTGCCCTTAGGTAATTCCTGCAACATTTTCGTGGCTGTATACCTTTGTATCATGACCATTGCGGAAAAAACTACAGTAGCCGCAAATTATCTCTTATCTATTAGACAAGTCCGTCCGTCTGTCTGTGGTGCTGTTTCAGCGGCCAAACCGTAAGAGATAGATAAAGAGAATATTTAAGTTATAAGTTAAGAATAGTCTGATAAGACTACAAACCGGATTTGAGTAACGTAGCACTTCCGGTTTTCGAGAAATCACGAATTTCAAACGAAACCACACAAAATCTCCGAAGTTCTCAATTAATTAAATACTTTTTTTTTTAAATCAGGTTTTGGTGAACATTTGGTTCACTGGTTTGCTAGTTTATTATAAGTTGCTAGTAGCAACGTAAAATATATTTTTAAGCTTACTAATAAAGTGGAATAAAACGTACTTTATTTTGGACACAGTGTACTATTTTTTCTACCTTTATTTAATATATATATATATATATATATATATCCAATGTACTTTATTTCGACAAAATAAGGTGGCAACTCTAGTAGAGAGAGAAAACAAAACGCAGTCGGCTGCAAAGCGACGCTGACTCGCGCCGTTTCGTTCGCGCTGCGTTGAAGCGTCCAGTACCCCGTGGTATGAGTTTTAGTCGTTTTCGAATTCGATCAATCGTATCGTATCGTTTCCATAAATTGCCTAGCAGTGCCCCTAGCGTTAACTATCAAAATCAAAAATCAGCAGTATGAGTTCATCGAGTCATCGTAAAACGAAAACTACCAAAATTTTCGTATATCGTTTGCATTTTGGCAGTACAAGTTACAACTTTGACAGCGCGTCATGAATATACTACGATATTTGATCGTATCGTCACTCGATTAGAAACTTTCAGTGACTAAGTGTTTGGGTCAAGTTTTTATGCAATCTAACAATGTTTTCGGCACAATATTTAGCTCTCATGCCTATCTCTCCATAAAATCCACCATTTGCTCAAATTGCGATGGACTTGTTCGCACCATCTTAGATTCTAATTTTTATTTTAAAAAATAGACACAATAACACTTCTCTGTCTACGCACAAATATATACATATTTTTGAAGTGAAAACTTCTTTAGCGGCGTTGTACACTTTTTTTGTATGGGCAAAAAATGTCAAACTCGCGTCAGGTTAAACACGTGGGCTGATCGCATCATGACATAACATACAATAAAATTGGAAAGGTTGTTGACTTTCAATATATTGGACGAAACATAATAATATTTCATTTTATCGTATTATAAAAAGTCTCTGTCTAGGACGTCCACGTGGCAGCTTTATTGCGAAGAAAATGCATTTTTTTACAAAAGATGTCGCTAGGTGCGCTTAAATGTGATTCATGTAAGTTGATTTCTTAACAATAGATGTCGCTAAGTGCGCTTAAACGTGATTCATGTAAGTTGATTTTTCTGAGATAAACTTTTTTAATGTAATATAAATTGTCTTGTTTGTGTACGATAGCGCAATAAATAAATATTGTATTCTACCACATACATGATAGTACTTTTATAGTGATAATTAAAGCAATTCGTGCAAAATTATTCCCTAACCATTCCAAAATATCAAAAATGCACAACGTTAATATTCAAGTTTTCACTTCTGCCGGCAACCCGTCGTTTTTTTAATTTTATTTCTTTACGGCCTTGAAGTCAACCATACAGCCAAGTTTCACACACAGATAAACGTAGGTTCTATACTCTTTGATTAATAAGATTAAGTCTAGTTTTATATAGATTAGCTTTGTTTAAGGTTGAATTGAACAAATGGCTCAGCTATCTCTTTTTTTGGCAATAAAGAACGAAAAAGACTAAACTAATCAGTGTGAAGTTAGTTTAGTCGAGTCATCGAGCATACGATACCGTGAAGACGAGGTGTGAAATTCTATATTCGTACTGCGACACAATTCGAAAACGTATTGTTTGATCGAATCGACGAAGACGTTCGTTCGTTTCGTATTAAAAAAACTCATACTAAGGGTACATATATTAAAAGAAAAGTATTACAATGTCAGATAATGTGAATTCAGACGGTTTTTAAATGTATAAATAGTTTCCGCAAGTCTTATTGAAACCGGAAGAGAATTCCATATAAGTATATCACATCACAAACAATAGGGTATTAAGTCAGCAAAACCATTTATTTTTGAAGTTATACTTCTTTAGGCGCGTTATGAAAAAATGATGAGAGTGAAATTTTAAGATGCGCGCGCATCACTGTAACACAAATTATTAACAGCATGCATCGCTAAAGCGACCAACTTCATGCTGTTACTTTTGTGTTTACCGCACATTAAGAAAATCTACCAACAAAATAGAAATAGAATCTCTATTTAGTGGGTGCTAACGACTGCATTGTGAAGGCCTATCAAAAGTATTTATTAATCTGGAACAACGGAACCAAAGCGCGATTCAGGAGACTACAGCGCCATCTCTTGACCATTGGTGTAGTAGAACCAAAAACCACATCTTTATTTTTTGTAATAAAGTAACAGTTATAGGTATTCATATTTGTAATATTTATCCACATGTTTCTAGTTTGTATATTCGGAATACGTGTTTGAGTTTCATACAAGTGCAAATCACATATGTTCTAATAAATTATATTCAGTAGCGATTTTAATTGAATATTTTGATTATTTATTTATTTTTTCAAATTAAAACTGAACTTTATTGACTGTGTCCTTTTCCAGACTTTTTATTAATTTATTGTAATTAATTATTTGCATGCTATTAAAAACTAATTTTAAACGATGCCAAAGAAGGATATCTTCTCACGCGCCTACATAAGTACACGCACCCATTTTTTTTATTTGCGTTTCGAAAACTTAATTTTTTTTTTCTCTATAACCCGGTAAGATAATTGTATTTTAATTCTAAATAGTTTTTGAATTATAGCAACACATGGCGTCAATTTCTAGGCAAAATTTATGATTGTAAGTATTCTAAACAGTATTATGTTAAGTTAATACCCTATTGCCCGTTCGGATTAATACAAGTTTGAAGTTTTATTTCAAATAATACCCTCTGGCCTGTTTAATTTGATTAAATATGTTATTTCCAGCGAAATTATTTTAAAATGATACTAGTTGTAATTTTAACATGAGCCATTTGAACTGCTTATAGGGTATTCTCTTTACCCAGTCACGTAAAAGTACTTTTAAAATAAAAACTACTATTGATACACTAACTAAACTTACTCAACACAAAGAAGGATAATGTACGTTTAAATCGAGGTATCATTTTAAACATTTGAACAAGTAGTTCCGCTTCTGTGATTTTTTAAAACTTCAAAACGCGATATCTCAAAACACTGTTTTTGAAGATAATACCCTTTTGTTTGTAACGTGCGATATGTACAGCTTGCAATGTAAACGAACGGTGGAAAAATAGATAGATATTGGTGTCAATTCTGACGCGATTCATTAAACTTAAAACTAAATTATATCAATTCAATTCAATTTATTTGCATTAAATAGGGTACAAATAAAGGTGTTACATTTCATCTAAGTTGTAGCTTAACCTATTCAGTCATATAAAGATAACATGCAAATTTTTCTATTCAATTATAATTACCTATATAAATGTCAATAATTCTTATTATAATATTATAATTATTCGATGTCGTCAATTTATCATGTCCATAATTATGTGAATGTCATAATTAGAATGGTCTTGTAAAGAATCAAAATTAAATGTTATATTTAAACCCATTAAGCATGTCTTCAACCCATGCATCAAATCCTACCATAATTCATGAACTCAACCATACTGTAAAACGTGTTTTCATTTAACCACTTACGAAGTTTTGACTTGAACTTATTAAAGGTTTGGCTTTTAATTTCTTCTGGAATTTGATTATAAATTTTAATTGCCATCGCCGGTGCATTTGTTTGGAATCGATTTGTTTTCGGAACTATGTCCATTTTTATTTTATTAGGATACCTCAGACTTCGATCTGTTGCATCTTTTGCGACTGTATACAAATGGTAGTGCTGCTTTACAAAAGTAGCTACTTCGAGAATGTACAAAGAAGTCAAAGTTAAAATATTTAGGTTAATTTTAAACATCAGCCTCTCCTTTTCCTTCTGTATAGCGAATGACAAGGATACACCGTTGTCAAATTTAAGTTTAGGTTTAGAGAATCTTGCCAGAATCGACACCATAGATTCCCTAACTCAACATACCTGTTTTGATCTAAAGAAAAGTTTAATAGAAGTGATGGCGCTACCTTGCAGCCTAAGACTAGAAAAAAATCTACACGGCCGTTAGGGCTGCGGTGGCAAAATGGTCAGTGCATTCGCCCGGATTGCGAGGGGTGCGGGTTCGAGTCCCGTCCGCTGCCTGGTCCGCGTGGATTTTTTTGTAGTAAACTTTTCTTTAGATTTAAACATCTACCAGTTAAATGCTTAAAAATAAATATAAAAAAACATACCTGTTTTGGTTTCTTCTTGATAGCAGATTGCGGCGTTTCTAAAGGGTCTTTGTGTGAGGCATGTTCGTCTGTCTGTACTACCGCTGTTAAAATAATTTTTATGTTATTTTCTTTATTTGCATTTTGAAAAACACACAGATTTACACAAATCAATAATAAATAAACCCATACGCCCCTTATTAATAAACAAGGAGTAAGCTTAGAATAGTTACGCCGTGTTCTGTTCATGTCACTCAAATGTCATTTGTCATTCATTAGATAGAGACAAAATATGGAGTAACTAGCCAATAGGGTATTTGACAGTATTAAAAATAAAGTGCCAATTGTTAGCATCTGTGTTTAGAATGAATATTGACAGGGGTTTTTAATATTTTTACAAAAATAATATTCATAATTTTACTTAAAAACGCACGAAAAAGATAATAGTATTCTTATCTATTGTCACGTGAGCAAAACGCTTGGGATTGGCGGAGCCTTAAATGACGTCACACGCAAGTAAACTTCCGGTTAAAGTGACATTACATTGTATCGTTTGACGTTTTAATAACAGTCTTGTGACGTCACACACTAGTAAGACGCCATATTGTCCAGAGAAACGTTTTCGCGGCAACTTGAACATGGAGTTTTTGATTTGGTTATTTTTACTGAAATACACAACAGAATGATGAATATCCACTTTTTACGGACTCTATAAACATTAGTCAATAACGTGAGATCGATTTCTAAAACTTGTCAAACACCCTATTATGCTACCGCGAGCCTGATGGCCGTGTCGAATTCTTTCCAGCCTTTCTTAAGTAGCAGGGCGCCTGGTCCGCGTCGATTTTTTGTACCAGTAAAATTATATTTTTATAGATTTTGACATCCAGCAGTTACAATATAATGGAGTAACTAATCCAAGCGTAGTCTTCGTTTATTAATTGACATTAACAAAGATTGACAGGAAGTATGAATATCAGTGGAAACTTAATCCCCCTTCAGTTTCCACTGATATTTATACTTCCTTAAATTCAAATTCTTTATTTGCCATTAAATAGGGTGGGTACATTGAAATGTTCATGTAAACAAAAATATAAATAAAATATAAAGGTAGCTTTAAGCCTATTTAGGTTGCTTTCCAATTTAGGGATGTCGAAAGTTGAAAAAAATATCGATATATCGATAGATCGATCTTTTAAAAAATATCAATATCGGCTTCGATATATCGCGAAAAAAACATCGATATATCGGACCAATTTTCCCAAAAATATCGTACAGTAACTCACGAAATATGACACGCGGAATAATAATGGAACGAAAATTATCTCCCTAAAAATAGACCCTATTTTCGAATGATGACATAGACAATACTTAATACAGCACAGATCATAGATATGTTGAATATCATTAATCTGAGATCCAGTTACGATTTTTCCAGATACGAATTTAGTTACATCGTGATATGACGCTAATAATTAAAAATTTATCGTTTTTGATACGAATTTCGATATTGGTTATTTTGTATCCATGTCCACGAATCAAAATATATCGAACAAAAAATATCGATATATTTTCAACAAGCCTATTCCAATTACAGCATTATAGCGCATTATGCGGCATAATGCTTAACGTTGAGTGTTCCAACTACAGCAACGCTTCGCACAATCGAGCACTCTCAAAAGTGATGCTTTCGTGTGATGCGTGCAATCGTACCAACTTAGAGACAGAAAATTAACAAGTGTTTTTTCTTTAAGTTGGCATTGATCGAAATGTTTTATTTATATGTTATCGTTAGTAATATTATTTATTGTTGAAAAATTATTAAAGCTTTCGTTTCATTAAATAGTTTCTTTTTTAAATAATCAAAGTTCATTCAAACTTTTAAAAAATAAATATAAGTATGGATGAAGGTACAAACATTGACTTTTTTTTTTCAACACGGAACTTAGCGCACTCTGCTGGTGCATTTGAAAACTAATTCACGTTTCCAATTAAGCATCAGCATAATTCAGCATTGTGCGGCACTGAGTCGCATTATGCTCTGTAATTGGAAAGCAACCTTAGCCATATGATATAGCGTGCAAAAGGAATATTTCCATTTGTAAGAAAAACAATAACAAAATAAAAATACAATTTCATTAATATTACGTAATAAGAAACTTTGCTTTGCTTATTTTTGATGACATTGGGGGGGGGGGGGGAGGAGGGGAGGGGGTCCGAGATAGTTATTACGTCAGCATCATGGATTCGGGTGCCATGGACTGAATAAGAGGAGCTCGATGGCGTAGGTGGTTACCGCGTTCGGCTGCGATGGTTGAAGTTAAGTAACTTTCGCAGTGGTCGGTCATTGGATGGGTGACCAAAAACTTCTATCTCGAGTTCCTCCGTGCTTCGGAAGGCACGTTAAGCCGTTGGTCCCGGCTGCATCTGCAGTCGTTAGCACTCACCAATCCGCACTGGGCCCGCGTGGTGGGTCATGGCCCAATCTCCCTATTCCATCCATAGGGAAGGCCTGTGCCCCAGCAGTGGGGACATTAATAGGCTGATGATGATGATGAATAAGAAAAACAAAACGAATTGTATACATTAATATTCAATAGGATAATAATCAAAACTAATAGCAATACCAATACATGCATCAATTCATTTAATAAGAATAATATTATGAATGTCATTTATAATTTAAATATTCGTCAATTGAATAGAAAACTTTTTCCAGTAGCCATTTTCGTAATGATTAGAGAAACATGTCAAATGGGAGTTTTTTTATGTCATGTGGTATTTTATTGTATATTACATTACACATTGCGTAACTAATTTTTAAGAAACACTTGGTCTTTGGATTTGTGTCAAAAACAAGTTTGTGGGTTTAGGTTTACTAGCGACAAATTTGCAAAATCTCAATTGCTTTAAAACAATATCAATCAATCATTTTTTTTAATATAAATCCCATACAATAATGTCGAATTAAAATTATATATCATCATCATCAGCCTATTAAAGTCCCCACTGCTGGGGCATAGGCCTTCCCTATGGATGGAATAGGGAGATTGGGCCATGACCCACCACGCGGGCCCAGTGCGGATTGGTGGGTGCTAACGACTGCAAATGCAGCCGGGACCAACGGCTTAACGTGCCTTCCGAAGCATGGAGGAGCTCGAGATAGTAAATTTTTGGTCACCCATCCAATGACCGACCACTGCGAAAGTTGCTTAACTTCAACGACCGCAGCCGAACGCGCTAGCCACCTGCGCCATCGAGCTCCTCGAGAAATGATATATAAACACGTATAACAGAAGCTTACAGTACTTACTGTTGGGCTAGGTTAATAGGGGTGATGACGGGGTACAGTAAACGAAATTCTATTTAGTCCGTCAGTTAGATGATCAAAAAATAATGGACCCATATTTTTTCTTTGGGCAATCAACCAAAAAATGACAAAGTTATAGCGCGTCAAAGTTTGGGAGTAGGGGCTCGTGACGTCACTTTTGAGTGAATTTTCCCTTTTATAAGTGTACTCAAACGTGACGTCATGCGACTTTTCAAATCAATATATCTCGGCAATGTTTATATTGTGTGAAAAAAGAAAAAATACGTGTCCAATACTTTTTGATAATCTACCTGATAAACGAAGAAAAAAAAAATTAGTCATCATCCCTATTAGTGTGTGTTGGAATTTTTTATTATAAATTAATTAATTTATTTATGTAGCCGATGCTGTCTTATATTTGTTATTAATATTGTGTGATGTATTTTTGTGAAACTCACCGATGAATTTGCATTTTCTCAGCAACTCGAAATGTGTCCAAAATATGTCACCTGGATCCGATGGCACTTTATCGCTGAAACAAGTTGATGAAATGAAATGATGCGAAATTATACTTTACTAGCAAACCAGTGAACCAAATGTTCACCAAAACCTGATTTAAAAAAAAATGTATTTAATTAATTGAGAACTTCAGAGATTTTGTGTGGTTTCATTTGAAATTCGTGATTTCTCGAAAACCGGAAGTGCTACGTTACTCAAATCCGGTTTGTAGTCTTTATCAGACTATTCTTAACTTATAACTTAAATATTCTCTTTATCTATCTCTTACAGTTTGACCGCTGAAACAGCACCACAGACAGACGGACGGACGGACTTGTCTAATAGATAAGAGATTCAAATTAATTTATTGAAATCACTCTAGAATCGTCCAATATTTTTGTCTACCATACAATAGGGTACACAGTATTAAAATTGAAGTACCTATTGTTAGCATCTGCGTTTAGAATGAATATTGGCAGGGGTTTTTACTATTTTTACAAAAAAAAATACACGAAAAAGATAATAGTTTTCTTATCTATTGTCACGTGACCCAAAACGATTGGGATTGGCGGAGTCTAAAATGACATCACACGCAAGTAAACTTCCGGTTAAAGTGACATTACATTGTATCGTTTGTCGTTTTTATAACTGTCGTGTGACGTCACACACTAGTAAGACGCCATATTGTCCAGAGAAACGTTTTCGCGGCAACTAGATAATGGAGTTTTTGATTTGGTTATTTTTATTTATACAACAGAATGATGAATATCCACTTTTTACGGACTCCATAAACATTAGTCAATAACGTGAGATCGTTTTCTAAAACTTGTCAAATACCCTATTAGGACATCTTTTAGCTGATGAGAAGAATGGGCTCAAGAAACTCATCAGAATTTAACAGAAATAGAAACATTTACAAAAAAAATCATGTCGCTACCAATACAACGTCCACTTACATTTTAATCGCTGTGTCATACAGTATAAATACAAACAGTGTTCATCTCTTATCTATTAGACAAGTCCGTCCGTCCGTCTGTGGTGCTGTTTCAGCGGCCAAACCGTAAGAGATAGATAAAGAGAATGTTTAAGTTATAAGTTAAGAATAGTCTGATAAGACTACAAACCGGATTTGAGTAACGTAGCACTTCCGGTTTTCGAGGATCACGAATTTCAAACGAAACCACACAAAATCAAATAATTAAATACATTTTTTTTTAAATCAGGTTTCGGTGAACATTTGGTTCACTGGTTTGCTAGTAATAGATAACATCTTAATAGTAAAGCAGTAATGGGCAGACTCATCCCCGCTGACAGCACCCGTTCACGAGCATGACGCATGAACCAGCCATCGCTTCGCTCAACCATATTTCAGGAAACGTAACGACCCGCCTCACACGACACCTATCCAATTTGACGACCTCCGTGGTTTGTACGCCGGGTTTCATGGTATCGCCTACTCGAGAGGTCCCGGGTTCGAATCCCGGTGGGGGCAGATGTTTGTGTGATGCATAAGTGCATTTGTACTCCAGTCATGGATGTTTAATATGTATTTCTAAATAAATATACTTATATATGTACAATATATGTATTCTATCCGTTACCCTAGTATCCCATAACACAAGCCTTATAGTGCTTACTTTGGGGCTAGGCTAATTGGAGTGTTTTTAGAAAAAAAGAAAAAATAATGCATAAATTAAAATTTAATTTGTATTTTGTTTTACTACTAGTCGAAGTTTTAGTGTCTGTTTCATCATCCTTCATCGACAGCCTAAAATGTCCCCACTGCTGGGGCACAGGCCTTCTATGAATGTTTTAGATAATATTTAACCTATAGAGAAAATTTTGAGTCCTGGAAAAGATTATAGGAAGTAAAAAGTTTGTATCGGAGCTCGATGGCGCAGGTGGTTCCGATGGTTGAAGTTAAGCAACTTTCGCAGTGGCAGGTCATTGGATGGGTGACCAAGAACATCTATTTCGAGTTCCTCCGTGCTTCGGAAGGCACGTTCAGCCGTTGGTCCCGGCTGCATCCGCAGTCGTTAGCACCCGCCAATCCGCACTGGGCCCGCGTGGTGGGTCATGGCCCAATCTCCCTATTCCATCCATAGGGTAGGCCTGTGCCCAGCAGTGGGGACATTAATAGGCTGATGATGATTACATTAGTTCTTTTGTGTAGTGTAAAAAATACTGAAGAGAGAGGAGAGACAGAGAGGAGAGAGAGAGAAAGAGGAGAGAGAGAGAGGAGAGAGAGAGGAGAGAGAGAGGGGAGAGAGAGAGAGAGAGAAAGAGGAAAGAGAGGAGAGTAGGAGTAGTGTACAAAGTCGCGAGCTACAAGTTACTTATAACTTACTTGAATTCCACATTGTTGATGGCGCACAACTGAGACCCGCTCATGTTCCAGTCTGACAGTTTGATCCCTGTCAGATTGAACTGACGGACGGCCCATTGTATCCACAGTTTTACGTGTTGCACCGACCTGGGGGGTATGAGATATAACTATATATTTTAAGATAATTATAAAAAGTCACGTCTGTTGTATGGGATCTCCTTAAATATTTATTGAAGTGAAACTTCTTTATCGGCGTTGGAAAAAAATTTACCGTCACATTTTTTCGGTTACGCGTCACGTTTTTTGGTTACGCGCCATCTTTTTTTTAAAAGAGCACTATTTACCTCATCCGAACAATTGCTTCTTCTGTCAACTTTAAAAAAAAAAGTATCGACAGCAAATATTCGAGTTTCACACAAGGTAAGGTAAGGTAAGGTAAGGTAAGGTAAGGTAAGGTAAGGTAAGGTAAGGTAGGTAGGTAGGTTGATATGAGATTAGCTTAAGAAGATGCTAATATACCGCGGGCGCTTACGGACTGCGCCTTTGGTATTAAGCTTGATTTCAGTTTTCGTTATATATGTGTTTTAGTAAATAGTATTAGTTATTAGTATTTAGGGTTTTACTAAGTGTGTTTTATGATTTTAATAATATGAGTTTATGTTTAAGGTAAGGTAAGGTAAGGTAAGGTAAGGTGTAGTTATACCCCTTTAGTGGGTGAGTTTTTGAAAAATCTTAGCGCACGCCTATATATATATTTCTGGAAAGTTGTATGTAGATCATTTTTCGAAAAAAATAAGGCCATAAAGAAGTTTCACTTCTTACGTGTGTACACTAGTACACGCACACATTTTTTTTTTCATTTATATATATTGTTAATTAGAACATGAAATGAAACTCCAAAATTATAGATAATCCAAATGTTTACTCTTCCTGTATGTATTGTAGCAACTTATAGTCTTGAATGTAAGTATAATTAGCAAGTAGTACTTGAAAGTAGTAAAATTGTATTATTAATTAACAGTGGTGACAATTATAATCTTGCGATAGAAAGGAAACGGTTGAACAATGAAAATGGTAAAAAAATAAAGTAGGTAACTCCACAATTAATTTAATACGTCAAGATTAGACGTCGCTTGAATATATTGTCGCAATACATATCGAGCCCTTACCGCCAAATTATCGTAAGCGACACTCGCCAAATTATCGTAAGCGACACTTTTGTCGAAATGCGTTTTTTGTGGAAACTAATATTTTAAACCGTAACGGACCCATCTCTGTTGATATTTCCCTCCAAAAGAACACCGTTACAATATAATAGAGGGAAGAATAGAGGGAAATATCAACAGAGATGGGTCCGTTACGGTTAAAAATATTAGTTTCCACAAAAAACGCATTTCGACAAAAGTGTCGCTTACGATAATTTGGCGGTAAGGGCTCGATATGTCCCGTGAGATTGCTATGAAGTTCATTAAGAAGCCTTAACATATATATATATATATATATATATATATAATATTTTAAAGCGAATGAATATACAACTAAATATTCTGTGAATATTTCAAGCGTCTAACCTAACCTGTTGCCGTTATTAATATAGAGCAAAAAACGGCATAAAAACCAAGTTTGTTGTAATGGGACACTCGAGTATTATTAATAAGATTCCGTTTCTACGCTTTAAAAAAGGAAATGCTTTAATTCAAATGAAAATTGAAGGTGAAAAATGTACCCTTAGTACGAGTTTTACAATTACGAAAACTATGATAGTTTTCGTGAGCTCAAACTCGTACTAAGGGTACTGTAAAATGTGATTTATTTTACGAAACTAACACAGTCAGGTAGTGATCCGGTCTTTCGTCGACATTTATGTCGCTGACATGTGTGTAAGCTGACAATTGTCGAGTGACAGGTGATATGTGACAATTTTGAGAATTATTTTCGGAAATGCTTATAAGAATAACAGACACTTTGTTACATTGTTTCCGTATCTTACTACAACAACAATTATGTCAAATAAACGGTAATTCTAGCCATAAAATCGGACCTGTGTCAGATTTGCGTTAAAATTGTATGCGTTTTCGTTGATAGTTACAAAATGGCACTTCGCGAAAGCTTGAAAAGATGAGTAAATTTCCGTACAAGCAAAACCAGTATCGAACATTAAATTATTGAATAAAACTAGTTTTTTACGGGTTAATGCACGAAACTTTATTTATTTATTGACGTTTCGCAGCCTGTACGTCGGAATAAATTTCGTCGGAAAAAATAAACGTCAATAAATAAACAAAGTTTAGTGCATTAACCCGTAAAAAACTAGTTTTCTTTAATGAGTGATGTGCGTGAAAACCTAAGAAACATTAGTTAATAGATTACTACACAACAAACCATCGGCTTACATAATGTCGACTTGGTGAAAAGGTGCCTATGCCTTTTCGCTAGGTTGGCTGTTGTTGCGCGTATTATCACAAAATAAGACGTAACAGAAGGTAATCTCATGTATATACTACAATTTCTCGCGTCGGAAAATCTCTTTGGCTTTGCATTGCCAAGCGATCATCCATAATAAGGTCAACCATTCCAGTGGTTCTTGCAAATATGAAATTGGTCATTCCGAAATAACGATATTAAATACTCTAGATACACAACGTGCGCTCAAAAAGTGTCCCAATCAAGAAGTGCTTGAACACCACTCAAGTACTTCTTGGTTCATAGTCACGCGCGGACCGTTGAAAAATTAAGTTGCCGCAGAGCACCGTGAAAAAATGCGAAAAAATTACTTATAGTATGTAAAGTGTCGTTTTTTCAACAGGTATCTAATCAATGTTTGTTAATAAAACGTATTTACTATAAATACTTACTATAAACTGATATTTAATAAAAAAATGTTTGTGATATTCAAATGCATGATCGGTAATATAGCCGTCTCTTTTCCTCGCGGTCCGTACCTGCTATATTGCTAACAACGTATTCAGAATTGCGCGTAGAGTCAAAGGATTATTCCTTGGTCTATATTCTTCCGCATATAGCAAATAAGTCGTAAAATTTTACGAGCTTGCATTTCGAACTGTCATAACTCTGACGCATGCGTTTTAATTAAGACTTTATATAGTATGCATTAAAGGTGACTTTCAATGTTTATATAATGCCTTATATTGTTTTTGAATACGCGATCATCTTACGGAGCTCCGTGGGTCGTCCAATGTACCTTTTGGACAGATTTCGGGCACGATTTTGTTCGTGTTGGTGTATCTAGGGTATTTAATATCGTTGTTCCGAAAAGACACATGAGCAGAGCTTTAGCTACGACGCACGTAGGGGCGCCACGCAGACGAACGGAGCATATTAGTTATATTATTTTAATACCTATGCAAACATAACCCCAAAATCATTCAGTGTATATGGTCTATTGAAGTTCTCAAGGGTGTCCGTTAATAATATTCGTTTCTACAGTAATTTATATATAATATCGAATCTAGGAAACAATTTTTCATGATCATTGGTCTTTAGGCCAAACATGTATGGAAGCTGAGCAATTCTTTGGTACGAAGTAACGTCTTATAGTACAGATAAAGGAAAAATTGCGAAAACCGTAAATTTTTAGTTACATTATATAATTAACAATATTTTTTAATAATTACTAAAATACATCTAAAGGTTTGTACGGAACCCTCGGTGCGCGAGTCCGACTCGGACTTGGCCGGTTTTTTGAATAATGATAAGGCGCAAGTGGTTAGCGCGTTCGGCTGCGATCGTTGAACTTAAGCAACTTTCGCAGTGGTCGGTCATTGGATGGGTGACCAAAAATTACTATCTCGAGCTCCTCCGTGCTTCGGAAGGCACGTTAAGCCGTTGGTCCCGGCTGCATCTGCAGTCGTTAGCACCCGCTAATCCGCACTGGGCCCGCGCGGTGGGTCACGGCCCAATCTCCCTATTCCATCCATAGGGAAGACCTGTGCCCCAGCAGTGGGGACATTAATAGGCTGATGATGATGATGATGATGATGATGAAGTATCTCACCACTGCCTTGGGTCATCGGGTATCTTGACCCGATGATCGGCCTTAAAGTGCGGGTCGACGACCCACTTAACGGCAGCCGCGTGTGTGATCGGCTCTTCCACTTCCTTGCACTCTTCTTCTTCCTCTTCCGGTATGGGCACGCTTTCCTCTTCCACTTCTACGTCTAAGGATGATAAGCGATGCTAAATTGCTGAGAAAAATTTATTGTCACTACTTAGTAGTAACAAATTTTTTTCATAATATGTACTGATTTTATTGAATAAAAATTATAAACACTCACACCAATTAGCCTAGCCCCAAAGTAAGCACTGTAAGGCTTGTGTTATGAGATACTAGGGGTAACGGATAGAATACATATACCGTACATATGTAAGTATATTTATATAGAAATACATATTAAACATCCATGACTGGAGTACAAACGCTCGTGTTCATCACACAAACATCTGCCCCCACCGGGATTCGAACCCGGGACCTCTCGAGTCGGCGACACCATGAAACCCGGCGTACAAACCACTCGACCACGGAGGTTGTTATTCTGTTATTTATCATAAGTACCTCATTTATAAAACTATATTTAAGATATTTTTTACATTGGACAGTGCAAATAGTTTCTTTATAACTTTAAGTTATGTCTAGATGTGAGGACCTGTAATTGGCTCTTTGTCGCTACTATTAATTTCTAGTATCTCTTATCTATTAGACAAGTCCGTCCGTCCGTCCGTCTGTCTGTGGTGCTGTTTCAGCGGCCAAACCGTAAGAGATAGATAAAGAGAATATTTAAGTTATAAGTTAAGAATAGTCTGATAAGACTACAAACCGGATTTCAGTAACGTAGCACTTCCGGTTTTCGAGAAATCACGAATTTCAAACGAAACCACACAAAATCTCCGAAGTTCTCAATTAATTAAATACATTTTTTTTTAAATCAGGTTTTGGTGAACATTTGGTTCACTGGTTTGCTAGTATTAAGATAAGCTGTTGGTCTACCATGTAAACAAAATAAATAAATCGAGCCCTTACCGCCAAATTATCGTAAGCGACACTCGCCAAATTATCGTAAGCGAAACTTTTGTCGAAATGCGTTTTTTGTGGAAACTAATATTTTAAACCGTAACGGACCCATCTCTGTTGATATTTCCCTCCAAAAGAACACCGTTATCATATAATAGAGGGAAGAATAGAGGGAAATATCAACAGAGATGGCTCCGTTACGGTTAAAAATATTAGTTTCCACAAAAACGCATTTCGACAAAAGTGTCGCTTACGATAATTTGGCGAGTGTCGCTTACGATAATTTGGCGGTAAGGGCTCGAAATAATGATTTGTTAATTGTATTGCATTGTATCAAATTGAAATGAATTAATTTTTAATCATTATCAGCCTATAATCTACCTGATATCTGAAGGAAACACATTAGTCTTCATCCCTGTTAATATTACTTGCGAAATTATTGTAACTAGTAAGTAGTAACAATGGGAGCTCGATGGCGCGGGTGCTAAGCGTGTTCGGCTGCGATCGTTGAAGTTAAGCAACTTTCGCAATGGTCGGTCATTGGATGGGTGACCGAAAATCTTCTATCTCGAGCTCCTCCGTGCTTCGAGCGGCACGTTAAGTCGTTAGTCCCGGCTACATCTGCAGTCGTTAGCACCCACCAATCCGCACTGGGCCCGCGTGGTGGGTCAGGGCCCAATCTCCCAATTCTATCCATAGGGAAGGCCTGTGCCCCAGCAGTGGGGACATTAATAGGCTGATGATGATGATTGATGATGATGATTCTTTTGTGTAGTGTAAAAAATCAATGCTAGAGAAAGAGAGAGGGGGGGGGAGAGGGGGGGAGGAGGGAGAGGAAGAGAGAATCCTTTTACTACTCACATTGCTGGTCATTCTGTTGAGGCAGCTGTAACATCTCCTCGTCCGGTTTGAGAACGTCCAGGATATTGATCTTGCGCTCCGCTGACCGGATCTGGACATTCACCTGGACAACACCTTCACCACGGATGCATTGTTCCACTAACGTCTTGTGGTTTTCCAACTAGAGGGGAATGTATTAAAGTTTGTAATGTTTTTCATTCCCAGGCACACACACACGCATACACACACACACACACACACACACGCAAGCATACCTACACCCACACTCACTATACACACACATATAATTTAGTTATTTTTTTTACAAGCTTTTATTTAACTTGCTATGTATGTTTGTTACGGTCAAATCTTACAACTCAATTTTAAAGCACTTGCCCTCAACCGATTAAGCTGAAATTTGAATGCTCGTTCAGTTCGGATGACAATGCATGAAATCCAATATGGCGGCATACCCAAAACGGCGGACCAATCATTTTTAATGCATTCCTACAATATGGGTATCAAATTAAAGGGCTTGCTGAGAATAACTCGAAAAAAATGTGGCGTCACTCTCAATCCAATATGGCGGACTTCTAAAATTTGAAAATCTATTTAGAAACAAACTTTAACTAAATTTTCTTTTTTTCTTTTTAGCGCATTTGAATAAAAGCTTGTTTTTAAAAAGGTTTTTGTACCTTAATTTTATCTATTTATCTTGTGGCAACGACTGTTATTTTATACGATATTGTTAATTAAAATTTATAATATTCAATAATATGCACTAATGTGTTATGTATAATAATTAATAATATTTAATAATAACATATGTTTGTGTAGTAAAATTAATTAGATAAATGCAATTTGTGAATGTAATTCATGTAATTTGCTAATGAATAAAAATGAGCGAACACTGTGACGCGCAATAATTTTATATATAGCGAACAAGCTCGCGCTATTGTTCAAGCAATTCCTTGCGCCTCGCGGCCGCCCGGCCGGCAGTCGAAAGATTACGACGACAACTAACGCTTGCGCTTTTTGCTTATAATATTCGTTATAAATTGTATGTTATTTAGTTTGTGCTTCCTATTTTTTCTGTGACTGTTTCTTCTGCTTTTACTCCTTCTGTGTGCTGTGCTGTATGTATATACTGTTGTGTACGTGATTAAACATTCTTCTGTGCCGTGAATCATCGTATAATTGTATGTACCTCCCTTTCCTATTTACTACAATCTTTACTGTGAAGAAAAATAGTAATGTTTTGTTATGCCCAGTACAACTGCTAAGATTATATTGTAAGTACATAATTGGAGAGGACACTGGATTCCATACTACAGGCTAAGGCCTATATTGGAATACAGGGGAATCAAACATAAATTGTAAAAAGTATAATGTTAATAAACACTATTATTATTAATTAATGGTATTATATTAAATAAAATTAAAAAAAAAATGGTTGCCTGTAAAGTCGGTTTTACGGGCGAAGATTTTACGTGACAACGTCTTTTTCTCGGTAGAATATTTATTGATATGAATATAATTAAATTGCACAATAGGAACAAGGAATTGAATGAAAATAAGAATTGCACAAATTTTAACTATAGAAATATATTTTGTTTACTAAAACATTGTACATGTAAACTTAAACTTAACACGAGAGACTCATCGTAACGTTACCGAGCGTTACACTTTTTCATAAGTGACTCCCAGCCGCAACCTAATTTAAGACGTTGTCACGTCAAAATCTTTTTTATAGATAGTTCCGACAAATGACTCCACCCCACCTGATGTTAAGTGGAGGTGAAGTCCAGACGCGAAGATAGCTGATACAGCAGTTGTACCTGCCACACCAGCCATCCTCACCCTGCCGGCCTGCATGTTGCTTCTTCACGCCTCTTTTAAAGGATCCCAGGTTGTAAGAGGGAGGGAACACGTGAGCGGGCAGAGCATTCCATTTACGGATAGTGCGACAAAGAAATGAGTCACCAAATTTCTTTGTACGCGTTGGAATGAGGGCTATCGTTTTTTGTATCACCAGATGGCGCCACTGTTGAGTGAGGTCCTGAAGTGTAACTTTTAAAGTTAGTAAACACGCTCGTGATATCAAAGTTTACATTTTAATACAAAAGAATCGTATCTTAAACATAATCGCCCATGCCACAGTGTTGCGCAGTCCCGTTTTGTTCGGAAAAAAGAAGGACAATATTTTTTCTTAGCTCCGCTTTTAAATAACTGACAATCATTGACACGTAACTCATATTTGCCATAATAAGTCTGATTTATTACCAAACATTCACAACTATTATTTTAATTACAAAAAAACCGCGTAGTCAACCCGCAAGCTATAACATTTGACATTTCGGAGACCTCACGCAACACAAGCGCCTCTAGCGGCGGTTTCAGACGCGATAGCCCTCATTGTAGTCACAGTTAGACGGTGACAACGTAAGCCAGCGCGCGTGGTCCTCTGACGGAAAGGGGGGTTTTGTCAATCAATCAACAAAGTGACGCGTATATTTTTTTTTCTCACACCTATTACCCTATCCCCAGAGTAAGCACTGTAAGGCTTGTGTTATGGGATACTAGGGTAACGGATAGAATACATATACTGTACATATAATGCGATTCAACTAAGAATAGGACCAACTGGACGCCATATTGTGATGTCATAGCTGTCAATTCAAACCAAATAGGTAGAGTGAGCAAAAAAAGTTTTTATTTAATAAAACTCAAAATTAATCTGTCGAGAGCGTTTATATGGAGAAAACAGCGCCCGCTTCCCCTCTTAAGCAACTTTCGCAGTGGTCAGTCATTAATGGGTGACCGAAAATTTACTATCTCTCACTCTTCTGTGCTGCGGAAGGCACGTTAGCAATTGGTCCCGGCTGCATCTGTAGGCGTTAAGACCCATCGCACTGGGCCTGCGTGGTGGGTCAAAACCATATTATTATCATTATCTTTCTGTCTCATCAATTACTGTTTAACCAATATAGATATAGTAAAAGGAGTGAGAGATAGCAAATTTTTGGTCACCCATCCAATGACTGACCACTGCATAAGATGTTTAACTTCAACGATCGCAGCCGAACGCGCTAACCACTTGCGCCTTTGAGCTCCTCTAATACAACTAAGATCTTGAGAGGAGCTCGATGGCGCAAGTGGTTAGCACGTTCGGCTGCGTTTATTGAAGTTAAGCAACTTTCGCAGTGGTCGGTCATTGGATGGGTGACCAAAAATTTAGTATCTCACACTCCTCCGTGCTTCGGAACGCACGTTAAGCCGTTGGGCCCGGCTGCATCTGCAGTCGTTAGCACCCACCGGATTGGTGGCACTGGGCCCGCGTGGTGGATCACGGCCCAATCTCTCTATTCCATCCATAGGGAAGGCCTGTGCCCCAGCAGTGGGGACATTAATAGGATGATGATGATGAAACTGATATATATGTACAGTATATGTATTTTATCCATAACTCTAGTATCCCATAACACAAGCCTTACAGTGCTTACTTTGTGGCTAGGCTAACTGGTGTGAGCGTTGGAAATATTTATTATTGATTTTAATTTTATTGTGTCAATAAGAGATTTTGTCGACAGCTAATCTCACCATTTTAGCGTCCTGCAGCCAGAATGTATAATCTGAGAGGTCTGCCCCGAGTCTCTGCTCCAACATTGATCTTAGCTTTGACAAACGGGTCCTTATGTCCATCAGCTGTATAATAATTTCATCTAAAACAATACAGCATTTTAGTTACATTAGGTGCAACAAACAAAAATTATACTATAATTTGATTTATAATTTCGTGGGCTCCATGCACAGGACACAGAAAGTGGTGAAAAGGCGCCCCACAGTTATGTGTGAGCAAATGCTCATAATTTGACCAAAACTTTGTACTGATTGCGTCGTTCTTCTCGGGTGTGAGCGCTGATTGATTCATTTGTTTGATGTCGCGTCCTTTGATTGGCTATTATCTATTAGGTGGAAGTGTAGTGGGGGCGAGCCGGCGATGTCGGTGCCCATATAAACGGTCTATGTCACCCCTCTAACCTCTTTCTGTGTTCTGTGGCTCTATTGGTTAGCAAGTTGGGCCAGGGTAGGCAACGGTGTGATATTTTTTGGGGTCCAGTTACTATCAGGTGGGACATATGTTTACCACCTTTTTTAACATAAAAAATAAACAAATAATAATGTGAAAATTATGGCAGACAAGCAAATGGTTTGTCAATCACTTTAGCCTACATCCCACTACATAATATAATCCCGTAAAAAGCTTTATTCATACCATTTGATTCGTTACTTTGCATAGTATCATCATCATCGGCAGCATCAAACACGGCCAGAGGTGTTTGAAGAATCTCCGTACCAGCTTGCATTAGCCCTGCAAACCATAAATATGCAGGTTAAAAATTATAATAGAAAACTTAAACAGTGAGATCTTGGAAGCATTTGAGCTTGGTGGTGCTGTGTCAGTCTTAGATCTGAAAGATCACTTAGTTTTTATACTGGCCAGTCATCATCAACCTATTATGAAATAGGGAGATACGGCAGTGAATCCACCACTCTCAGTGCGGATCGGTGGGTATTGACAACTGCAAATGCAGCCAGGACCAATGGCTGAACCTTTCTTCCGATACATGGAGGAACTCCAGATTACAAGGTTTTGGTCAACCATCAACAAATGAACGAAAGCTGCTTAACTTTCTCATTTGCAGGCCCAACGCTTTAACCACCAGTCATAGGATGGGTGAACTGTATTATTTCAGTCTATTCATGCTTCCAAAGGCATGCTAAGCTAGGGCCACAATGGAGAAACAAAAAACTAATTTCAACAGGTCAGCGATCCAGGAGGCAAATCGTGGTCTGGCCCAGTTTTAGGGGCCTACACTCCTCTAAATCCAGTACTACAGTTAAGGTCCAAAAAATAAAGTGTATCACCATAAGAGCAAAAACCAAACTGACTGATGCTCTCGCATATGCTCTAAAACTAATGTGGCGCTGGGCATTACCGCATCCTTACAGACAAGAGATGGTCTAAAATAGCAAAAAGTCGACAGGACCCAAAGAAAAAGGAGGATTTGCAGACCATACAAATAATGAGCAGATGACATAGCATAGCCAGTCAGAACTGGACAAAGAAAGCCAGCAATAGGGACGAGTGGAAGGGAAATGGAGAAGGCCTTCACGCAGCCTTACGACAACAGATGGTCGTTAAGAGTAACAAAGTTGACAGGACATACAGGAAAAAGGAGGGTTGGCAGACCATACAAACGATGGGCAGATGACATTGTTAGCATAGGCGGTGAGAACTGGACCAAAAAAGCCAACAACGGGGACACGTGGAAGGAAACGGAAGAGGCCTTCACCCTTTCAGGGGATCCATAATTATGAGTATATAAGAAAAAAAATTGTATGTTAGTTCTATTATGGTAATAAAAGGCTTATTATTTTATTTTATTTATAAGGTTTGCAGGGGTGTTGCAAGACAAAGGCCTGCAGCATCATTCAGGGACTGCTGAGCTTTCTGGAGGAGCTGGGATGGCGGGACTGATGCCAATCCCCACGCAAAATAGGCAATGGGTGTTGAGTTGCGGACACAGCCCGACGTACTACTAAGACTAGTGTATAAGATTACCAAATTTTGAAAGGTACATCAAAATTGGGAAACAAAAGACAGTAAAACTGTACTTCCAGGGCCCAAGAGGTGCTACTCGAATTTTTTTGTAGAAAAGGTCTCTTTTAAAAAAAATTTTTTTTCTTATTTTTTTGTTGATAAAATTTTTTTTTTCTTATTTTTTTGTTAATAAGGTCTCTATCAAAAAAGTTTTTTTTTCTCGCGTTATGGTCACAACACTAACCTAACCTACCCTAGTGTGAAGTATCACCACTTGGGCCCTGGAAGTACAGTTTAGCCCAATAGGCTTTTGATTTTATTATTACTACTGCAGTTTTTAGAACCTACCTATCCATACTTTTATATATATATATTCTTCCAATTGCATCAATAGCAAAGGCCTGTGCCCAGCTAAACAACTTGATACTTTACACTAGATTATGATAGTGTTGTGACCATTACAAAAGAAAAAAAAAATTTTGTTGATAGAGACCTTATCAACAAAAAACTATGAAGTGGCATCTCCATGTAAAATTCAGTTTAACACAATTCACTAAATAAATACGGCATTTTAAGGGGCTTTGAAGGCTCAGCTTTCCATTATATGTAATTGAGTTGCAAGCTGAAATTTTTGTCACGCAAAGTATTAACTATCAAAAACTCGTACACGAAATCTTTTTAGGCGGAAACGAATAGAACTCGAGAAAAAAATTATTGAAAATTAATGTTTTTGTAGGTTATGAGTCAATTTTGACAGAAATTTTGATCAGTGCTGCCATTTTTTTATGCAAAAATGTGTTGTTTCTCGTTGTCTATGGTAAACATAAGTTTATTAAGTTGGTACTATTGTCAAAATGTGACAATTTACCGCCATTAATGAGATCTGTCAGTCAGTGTTTGTGTTCGTCGCAATTGAGAGCTTTTTCGTACTCCTGTTGATATTAATATCGTCTGACTACCATGGCATCCTCAAAGCCTTCGGCCTCGAGTTCTGCTGTCCCCTCGCCTGAAGAGTCGAGTGTAGTGCAAGTTTTGGACTCTAATGAGCCGCTTGTGTGGTGATATTTCACACTAGGTTAGGTTAGGTTAGTGTTGTGACCTTAACGCGCGAGCCGAGCGAGCGAAGCGAGCGTGCCGCGGCAGCGGCCGGCGAAGCGCCAGAAACAAAAATTCGTTAATAGAGACTTTTTCTACAAAAAAATCTAGGCCCTGGAAGTAATTATCATTTCTGTAAAAAAAACGTCGGGAGGGGGGGGGGGTTACCCTTCCCTCTGAGGAGTCTTCCCTTATACCTATCCCTCTGAAATTCCACGACATTTAACAGATTTAATGAATTTTTAGGTTAGGTAAAAAAAAAAAACTGCATTTCCACCAAAAATCTTTTATGGCGGGGGGGTCGGGGGGAGCCCCCCCTCCCCCTCCCCTACAAATTACCCCGAAATTCGATTACATATAATGGAATTAAGTACCGCTTTGAAAATTATAGACCGGCTGCAGCCTGAAACTGATATCACCAGATAACAATTATACCAAATCATTATTTTTCTAAACTGTTTTCTGTATGCTGTTCAAATGTCAGGAGTTGCATGTGCCAGTTTTTACTTTTTAATAAGAAATTAACCTCACAGGAAAGCAACAGAATTACTAAGCTAAGTTATTAAAATATTTTTTTTGTTTGTTTAGGTTATTTTTTATTATGCTGCTTATGTCTAAATTGATTATAGGTATTTAATTAACTAATTTAAAGATGATAAGTGTTTAAAAGTTTTGTTTATATTGTGTTTATTTTATGTTATGACAAATACATCAAACATTGCTTGTTCGGTACTGCTGTTATAGTTATTATTATGACCTTTTAACTCACCTAAATCGCTTTCTGTCACATATTGAGGTATCGTTGCTAAAGAATCCGGAGCTTCTCCTTCTGTAACACTATCATACCCATTCGCCTCAGTCTCCATTTTAACAGTACGAATGTTCAATATATCACTAAGATCGGTAACTTCCATTGTTAATTTGCACAATAATCCACCACACAAGACACTATCACAGCTTAACGCGTGTATTGGTGGTTATTTCAACTTGGAGTTTACACCAAAAAAACTTTCTTGGGATGAATTTGAATATAAAGTAAAGGAAAAGGAAATCACTTCTGCTTTACTATTCACTTCCGCGTGCGCTGAAACGGAAGCCATAAAGAATTTTGACAGTTCCTCTATGATCACTATGAAATAGTGCTGCACAAAAACTTGTGATATTTGTCGCTGTTACGATACTTTATGTTATAATAATATTAATACTGATTTGAAATTGGGTGTTCCAAATCTTAGCTACTGCTTTATTAGAGTTAGGTTATGGCGTGTAAAGTTGAAAGCTTGGCTCTGCATAGGATTTGGTAACATTTTGACAGTGCCGAGTCATTATAATGCGATGCAACTGGGCGCCATATTGTGACGTCATAGTTGTCAATTCAAACCAGTAAGGTGAGCAAAAAAGTTTTTCTTTAATAAAACTTATTTACCAAGATTAAGGGAGAAAAAATATCACATTTTTAATAATAATTTTATTCAATGATTTTTCTCAGTCAGTCTTAATAATATTTATTTATTAAGATATGTCATAATAATATTTATTTATATATGATATACTGGATGAGAAAAAACATTAATCAGAATCTAGCTCTTTAATTCCAGAGTATTTGAGGTGGTCCTTCAGATTATTATCTCTTTACCTCCCTGAAGCTGCACATGGGTGGAAAAAGGTTTTCAACCGACGAGGAGGTAAAGGAGGAGGTGGGGACGAAGGGGTTGGCGGGAAACTACTTCGAGGAAGGCATCAAAAAGTTGATACCCAGCTTCACCACCTGCATTGAGAGGAATGGCGACTATGTCGAAAAATAGGTTACATATGTACTACGGTAACGTTTGATAATTAATGAGATAAAAAATCAAAATTCTAATACATTATGTTACTGTTGAAGATATGATTTTATGTAAAACCTTCTTGTTAGGGCGACTCGATGGCCTGTTCTCTATGTCACCGTTACTTCATTCTAGGACTTTTGCAAATACGTCAACGGTGTATACCTATAAAAATGTAATGTGATTGGGACTACATAAACTAAATATTACGAGCTGATTGTCTTTCCTTTCTACGATCCACTTCCTCAACATGGTAGCAAAGGAGCGTGGTTGAATAAAATAAATAGAAAGAGGAAGATAAGTGGAAATTATTTGAAAAGGTCAGTACCGAAACAATTGAAGACGTAAGGTACCGAAAATGGAAGTAAAGATAGGAGAAGTGGGCATTCAGATATTTGATGGTGCAAATTATGAAAAATGGAAATTTAGATTAAAGTTGTTGTTACAAATGAAAGAATGCCAAGAAGCTGTGGAAAATGATATGAAACATGAAGGTATGACGGACACGGAATGGAGAAAAATTGATTTAAAGGCAAGAAATATTATAGTGAATAGCGTAAATAATACTCAGCTCGATATAATAATGAATGAAACTACGGCTTACGGGATGATTAAAAAATTTGACGAGATGTATTTAGTAAAAGGCAGTGCTAATAAACTATTGATTAAAAGGAAATTACTAGAAACAAAATTCAAAGATGGCGACGATATACTAGAATTCATACAAACATTTGAAAAACAAATCAATAAATTGAAAAATGCTGGAGAAGTCGTGTCGGAAGAGGATAGACTGAACTATTTATTGCTTGCATTACCTGAGAGTTTTGCACATATTGTAAATATTGTTGATGCGATGCCGACAAAGGATCGGACAGTGGAGTACGTGAAGTCCAAATTACTACTTGAAATGAAAAGAAAACAGAACGAACAAGAAGTTCATACGTTCAGTTCTCGATCAAATCAACACCAAGATGGGTCCAGGAATAATGATAACTGCTTTGAATGCAACCGCCTAGGACACTACAGGAGGGATTGTCCTAAGTTAGCACGTCGTGGTCATGGTCGTGGTAGAGGACGCGGATATGGAGGCGGACGACGAGGAACTCACAGAGGATATAGAGGAGGATACAACAATAGAAGCGTGAATACAGGACAAAGTAGCAGCACCAGTGATGGATTTGGATTCAACGTAGAAGTAGAAGCGATGACAGGAGCTACCGAAACGAAAGCGGATATAACATGGTTATTGGACAGCGGATGTAGCGATCACATCGTAAATGACGATAAATTCTTTCGTGATTATAAAATTTTAGAAACACCTGTGAATATTAAGGTAGGTGATGGATTTTGTCTTAAGTCGGAGAAAATGGGAAATGTAACAATGTACTGTAAAGCAGGAGGTAAGTCAAATAAAATTGATGTTTCAAATGTATATTATGTTCCAAATATGAAAAAGAACTTATTAAGCGTTTCATGCATTGTAAATAGAAATAATACAATTCAATTTAGAGGAGAAATAGCAAATATATATAATGTACATATAGGTTTAATGGCCGTCGCACGCAAGAAAAATAAATTGTACGAATTAGATGGCAGAGTTAATTTAGGCGCAGGTACAGTAGCATACACAAGTGGTAACATTATGTCAGAAAAAGAAAAATGGCATAGAATACTTGGGCACCCTAACTTTAAGAAACTAAATGAAATGTGCAGGCATAGGGTTGTAGATGGGTTACCTATCACTTTAGGCGAGGGTTACGTGCAATGTGAAGTTTGTTTGATGAACAAAATGACAAATCTACCTTTTGGAAATCAAAGACGACGGGAACAGACTTGTTAGAGATTATCCACACGGATGTGGCAGGCCCGATTACGCCCACTGGATATAAGGGGCAACGATACTTTGTGTCATTCATAGATGACTATAGTAGGTTAGCTTATCTATGCTTAATTAATAACAAGAGTGATGTTTTTAATTGTTTTAGAGATTATGTAAATATGGTGGAAAATCAAACAGGTAAGAGAGTGAAAGAAATCAGATGTGACAATGGCGGAGAATATATTAACAACGATTTCTACACTTACACAAAGCAAAAAGGTATTTATTTAAAACCAGGGCCAGCTTATACACACGAGTTGAACGGTGTAGCTGAAAGATTTAACCGAACCATAATGGAGAGAGCGAGGTGTCTGCTTACAGAAGCAAAGATAAATAAGAAATATTGGCCTGAATGCGTTATGACTGCAGCATATCTAGGTAATAGAATATTAACAAATACGTATGAGAAAAAAACACCGTACGAAATTTTTATGGGGAGGAAGCCAAATGTAAGTAATTTAAAAATTTTCGGATCACAGTGTTATGTACGAATTCCAGACGAATTACGCACATCAAAACTTAACCCAAAGGCTACAAAAGGTATATTAGTAGGATACACAGATACGGGATACAGAGTATTAATAAATGAAAAAATAGTCATTAGTCGTCACGTTACATTTATAGGTACGAAAGAAGAACATATAATAAAGATAGTAAATACTGAAGATGAAACTGATGAAAACGAAGAATTTTATGATAGTGTTGATGACTCAAAGGAAAAATCAAGTAGAGCTGTGACTGAGGAGGTGACGGATATCCGACCAAAAAGAGATAGAAAAATGCCAGAGAAATATAAAGATCATGTTGTATATATAAATTTTAGTGATGCACTGGTACCAGATACGTATGATGAAGCAATAAAAAGTCCGGATGTAAATAAATGGAAAGATGCAATGAAAGAGGAATTGAACAGTTTGGAAAAGAACGAAACGTGGATTTTAGTTGAGAGACCTGAAAATAAGAAAATAATAGATGTTAAATGGATCTTTAGGATCAAGTCGAATGGAAAGTATAAGGCAAGAGTAGTCGCACGAGGTTTCCAACAGATGTATGAAGAAAACGAGGAAATTTATTCACCAGTAGCGCGAATGACGACAATGAAAGCTTTATTATCAATTGCATGTGTAAGAGGATGGAACATTGAACAAATGGACGTTGAGACAGCATTCTTGAATGGGAGTATTAAGTCTGAAGTTTATATTTACCCACCTGATGGATATTGTACAGAGAATAATAAAGTGTGCAAACTACAAAAAGCTCTTTATGGATTGCGAGAAAGCCCACGTGATTGGTATGAATGCTTTCACGAATTCATGTCAAGCATTAATTTCAATAGGTCAGACTATGACTATTGTTTGTATACAGGGTGTGTAAATAATGTAAATATATATCTATGTCTGTATGTGGATGATATTTTGATTTGTGGGGAGAAAAATGAGGCAATTGACGAAGTTAAACGGCTATTGAACAATAGATTCCGAATGAAAGATCTGGGAAAGGTGAAACAGTATCTTGGAATAGATGTAGTTTTTGAACCAAAAGAAGGCAGAATGACTTTAAGCCAGGAAAAATACATTGTAAGTTTAGCTGAAAAGTATAACGTAATCGAATCAAAGAACTTTGAGACACCAATGGAAATGAATTTAAGCATTGAACCAAGTCAAGATGTCAGTGCAACGTTAAAGTATAGAAACTTGATTGGAGCTCTTCTGTATGTTGCGAGTGGAACACGTCCAGACGTATCTTATAGCGTAAACTATTTGAGTCGGTTCCAAAATGCTTATAGTGATACGCATTTCAAATATGCCTTGCGAGTTCTCAAATATCTTTACTGTACGAGACATTTAAAGATGAATTTTGACGCCGACTACGAAGAACAATTGGACGCTTATGTAGATGCTGATTGGGCCGCAGATAAATCGGATAGGAAGTCGACGACAGGAATCCTTATAAGAGTTTTTAATAATCCGATCATGTGGAAGTCACATAAACAGAAAATAGTGTCAAGAGCATCAACTCATGCCGAGTATTATGCTTTGGCAGACTGTGTTGAAGAAGTACTTCCGTTAATAGGTGTGTTACGCGATTTAGGCGTTGAGATTAGGGATCCAGTAAAAATTTACGAAGACAACAGCGGGGCTATTGCGTTGTCAAAGAACGGAAAGTTTTGTAAAAATTCTAAGCATATTGACATAAGCTACCACTTCGTATATGACTATGAAAAAAAAGGGTATTATTAATATAGTAAAGGTTCATACAGAAAAACAATTAGCGGATATATTGACCAAGGCATTAGGAAAAAATAAATTTATAAAACTTAGAGAACTAGCAAACGTCAAATGAAATGTTAATGACAGATAGTCTTATGTTTTTGTTAAGTCCTTTTATTATTATTTTAAATTGTTATATTGGTATTAAGTTGTTTTTTTTGTTGTTTTCTATAAAATCAAGGAGGTGTGTTGAAGATATGATTTTATGTAAAACCTTCTTGTTAGGGCGACTCGATGGCCTGTTCTCTATGTCACCGTTACTTCATTCTAGGACTTTTGCAAATACGTCAACGGTGTATACCTATAAAAATGTAATGTGATTGGGACTACATAAACTAAATATTACGAGCTGATTGTCTTTCCTTTCTACGATCCACTTCCTCAACAGTTACAACAAAAACATATTTCTGATGTCGTTAGTAATTTGATCTAATTTATTGAACATTATTTAGAGATTCAGGAGTTTGAAGTTGTGTGCATCCTGGCTCTGGATTTTTTTCTAGTTAAATTTTCTTTAGATTTCAACATCTAGCAGTTAAATGCTTAAAAAATATATATAAATAACTGCTTGTACTTTTATTTCTTATATAATCATTAATAGCCTCTTTAATCTTTATAGGGGTTGCAGGGAAGAATTTAACACTCATCCATAGGGAAATAATCATTTATTTTTCGGTTCCAGAAATCCGATGATTTCAGCGTAGGGAGTGTCTTCTTGGCGTACCAAGTTCCTCCTCGAGCTTGAAGATATTATGTCCAAATCTACATATTGCACCCGTGCTGTTGCCTGAAATAAAAAGGGAGGTTTAATTTTTCTTACAGGTCCAGTGTCGATAGAAGTTAGTTATCTAGGTTACCTTATTTTTATATCAAAAGTAAAAGTATAGATGATGACTAATTTTTTTTTCTTCGTTTATCAGGTAGATTATCAAAAAGTATTGGACAAGTATTTTTTTCTTTTTTCACATAATATAAACATTGCAGAGATATGTTGATTTGAAAATTTGCATGACGTCACGTTTTACAATTAAACAAGTACAATTAGCACTCAAAAGTGACGTCAGGAGCCCCTACTCCCAAACTTTGACGCGCTGTAACTTTGACATTTTTTGGTTGATTGCCTAAAAAAAATACGTGTCCATTATTTTTTGATCATCTAACTGACGGACTAAATAGAATTCCGTTTACTGTACCCCGTCATCACCACTAATAATAAATCGCAAGGATTTGTCCGGTGTGCTAAGTACAAATACTAAATCAATATCATATTAACTTAATATTAAGATGGTTACTTAGTTACTTTCAATCATTTTTACAAGTATCATTACAACTATAATTGTTATTTTTTAAGCATGTATCTGCTTGATGTTTAAATCACAAGAAAATATATAACTAGATAAAATTCCACGCGGACCAGGCAGCAGACGGGACTTGAACCCGCACCCTTCGCAATCCGGGCGAATGCACTGACCAATTATGCTACCGCGGCCCTGATGGCGAAATTCTTCTAGCCATTCTTAAGCTGCAAGGCAGCGCCATCTCTCCGCATTGTAGGTAATCCACAATGTCAAATGAATACTTTTACAAGTATTAAACATTTGAAAGAAGAAATAGCAATTATAATTATAATTTTTATTTTTTAAGCATGTAACTGCTTGATGTTTAAATCACAAGAAAATTTATAACTAGAAAATTTTCCACGCGGACCCGGCAGCAGACGGGACTTGAACCCGCACCCTTCGCTATCCGGGCGATCATTACAGATGAATAGCAAAGCGACGTGAGGGAAAGGGATCGTATCGCAAACACCTGGAGGTCTACTCTATTTCAACGAAAAACGCAATATTGATCGAAATTTCGCACGTTCCTTACTCTGTTTCCTTTACATTTTAAAAATTCGTTCGTCGGAAAATATTTGACAATTAAATTCTCCAAGCCTACTCTAATTCATAAAATAATTGACAGATAATTGTTCGAAATTTTAACCTCAAATTGACGAAATGAAAAGTGTTGCCTTTTCATTTTCGTTTTGAGATTTATGTTTTAATTATGCCTTATGAAAGTTAAGCAACTTTCCTAATGGTCGACCATTTGATGGATGACCAAAAAGTTATTATCTCTCACTCCTCCGTACTCGGAACGCACGTTAAGCCGTCTGCCCCGGCTGAATCTGCAGTCGTTAGCACCCACCAATCCGTACTGGGCCCGCGTGGTGGGTCATGGCCTAATCTCCCTATTCCATCCATAGGGCAGACCTGTGCAGTGGGGATATTAATAGATTAATTATGATGAAAGGAGAAAATACTTACGTATGTTTCGACTTCATGGGGTTGAGTTGCCGTCTGATTTTTCCGTTTTTGTCGTAAGCTAACTAACGCAATCAGCGAAACAGCTATGAATACACCGAAAGCTGGTATAATATAATATAGCCAATTAGAACTTGATGACTTGTTTGGTTCCGTTTCCTGTTCTGCAATTTAGAAGCGCAAGTTTACCGGTTTGTTTGTAACAATAAAGTATCTAATTTTAATTTTTTAAGCATGTAACTGCTTGATCATTAAATCTAAAGAAAATATAACTAGAAAAAAATCCACGCGGTCCAGGCAGCAGACGGGATTAGAACTCGCACCCGTCGCAATCCGAGCGAATGCACTGACCAATTATGCTACCGCGGCCCTGACGGCCGCGCTGATATTCTTCTAGCCATTCTTAAGCTGCCAGGCAGCGCCATTTCTTCGCGTTGTATGTAACCCACAATGTCAAATGAATACTTTTACAAGTATTAAACATTTGAAAGAAGAAATAGCAATTATAGTTTTAATTTTAATTTTTTAAGCATGTAACTGCTTGATGTTTAAATCTAAATAAAATATAACTAGAAAAAATTCCACGCACACCAGGCAGCAGGCGGGATTAGAACCTGCACCCTTCGCAATCCGGGCGAATGCTCTGACCAATTATGCTACCGCGGCCGCGTCAAAATTCTTCTAGCCATTCTTAAGCTGCACGGCAGCGCCATTTCTTCGCATTGTAGGTAACCCACAATAAAGTTTCTTTTGAACCCTTTTCAAAGTTCAATAAATGTAACCAATAGGGGTTATTCCATTATTCCCCATTGACCGGCCCCATCAATGGGGGATTGTGAATCTGTTCTTCCTCTAATCCCCATTCGATATCAGAAATCAATATATCTCTATTCAAATTGGATGAATAGTACAACTCTTTTGAATCGCTCAATATATTTTTACCCTATCACTCTGTGTTGGACATATTTTTAGCTACTACGAAAAACCAGCGAAAAAAGTCCCACAACATTAAAAGAATAATGCAACAACCTGTGTGTGTCGCCTGCAGCCCATTGTGGAATTGTACCTTCATGGTATTTCTTTTTTACTTTTTACTAGCCATTAACATGGTTCATTGCAGTGTAGTCTGTGCGGAAAGAGAATGCGATTTAGATTGGAGGGCGGTGTAGTGCTTTTCTACCGTATTTGTAAGGTTTTACTCCTTCTAGACATGATTAAATACAAAAAACCGCAGGAAATCACAACAACAAACTAATCCGTATCAATCCAAAACTTTGACGTTTTACAGATTGCTGGGTTTGATTGCCAAATAAAAATCTTAATGTTAGTTCCGTTTTTCGCCACGCCCATTCTCTTTCCGCGCAGACTCTAGTAACAAAAACTCTTCCAGTACCTCCCAAATTTATCTCATCAGATCCTCTATATTGATCGGACTTCGTGATGTTAGGTGTGATATGTATCACTTTCACCACACTCCGTGTGAAGACACCATCCTTCGCATCACCTAAACCGATGCAAACAAACCAGGTATCATTGTGTTCTTGTAACATTGTAAAAGTGTGTACAGGAGCGGAAATGTTTACAAGTTCCCCTTCTGCAAAAACAAATAAAATGATTTTTTAATAATAAATAACTCAATGTGAAACAGAAAGTAGTAAAAAGTTGCTGTTGTAATTAAAACTGTTATAAATGTTTTTCTCTTCACAAGAGAACAATAGGCTGTTTGATAGTATCAAAATTAAAGTAGGAATTATGGCATGTGTATTCATCATAAATATTGGGAGTGATTCCACTATTTTTTGACAAATAAAAAAGTAGTTTATAATATCATTAAAAATCGATATAATTATATTATTGATCAAAGTATTGAGTTATATTAAAATTCGTCAAATGCTCGAGAATAGAGCTGCTTCTTAAAAAACTAGAACTATATGGTTTTTTTGTGAATTGCCTGCATGTGGTTCAAAACGTTTGTACTCAATAGAGAACAAATTGTTATCACTGAATCAGAGAACGGTGAGAAAAGGTTATCTTCACCAGGGATTCTTCAACAAGGAGTTCCTCAGGGATCGCGTTTAAGCCCCACTCTCTTTAACATATTTACTGCAGACCTCCCTAAACATATAAAATTTTGCACATGCCACCTTTATGCCGATGACACACAGTTCTAATATTCCTTTAAAGGCAGTGATATTAGAGACGCCATAGCTAAAATTAATATTGATATTAGTAATATCTACGACTGGTAGCAATGGAACTCACTGGTTCTAAATGCGAATAAGTCTCAGCTTTAGGTACTAAGAAACAAATACAAATATTACTTGATAGTAGAAATAAAGTGCAATTAGACGGAGTTTGTCTTGAACAGGTTGGAGCAGCGAGAAACCTGGGATTGATACTGGATGGGGAACAAAAGTTTACAGAGCATGTTAACCAAAAAATAAGAATTGCTTTTTATAAGCTTTAAGAACCTTTATAAAATAAGAGCGAGAGAAGGAAAGATAGAGAGAATATATCAAAGAGGATCTGCGGTTGCATCTAACAGACCTGCTAGTATTCTCCGCATTAAACTACTGCAGTAACGTTTATGGTCCAAGAATAAATAGTAGTACAGAAAGAGCTGTGCAGAGACTCCAAAATGCCTGTGTAAGATTTAACTTCGAAATTCCCAAAAAACAATATGTTACTCCATACCTGAACCAACATAATATACTCAACATGAAAGGCAGAAGGGAACTCCAATATGCATGTACTGTTCATAGAGTGATATCGAATAAAAAGCCTGAATACCTATACGAAAAACTTTCTTGGCGGCTTGAAAGGGCCCTCAAACCGCTTCGTTCTGCAGCAAAAAATCTTCTTAGAGTACCTAAACATAAATACATTCGCTACAAGGGGTGTGTAGGAAGGCCAAAGGGGAAGATCTTCCTCCGAGCTGGGTGATGGTAGCTCGGGGGCCGCGGCCCGACTGATGGAGGATTTCCTCCCAGGCGGGGGAGCGGGTGTGAAAGCGACTGATATTGGTCGGGCATCGTATATATGGAGTGTTTGGCTCCGAAATTCTCTTGCGCGATGTAGGCTTTTCCTAGGGCTGCCATCTCTAAAATGTGGCAACCAGGATAAGACGCGTGATAACCCCGGATTTTGAAGCCCAGAACCCGGACAGACCAATAAAAAAAAGCAGTTATAAAAATGTCACAAATCAACTTTTTTATGTTGATCTAGGCAAAAGAGCTAGCGGTCTACCTCATAATAAGTGGTCACTGCTGCCCATGGACACTTGCAGCACCAAGGGCCACTCATGCGTTGCCGTAACCCGGACTACAAATAAAACCCCGCCCGGACGCTCCCCGGACGCCCCGTAAACTAGGACAAATCCGGGGAAACCCGGACGGATGGCAGCCCTAGCTTTTCCATACGTTGTGAACGCAGCGCCGCGCCGGTAGCGCCACTGTTAAGGAGGCTAGTGACTATTTCCTTTATGTTCATTATATGTGGGGCATGTAGATGTCGCCGCCACATCCCTCCCCTCCGAGACGGGAGGTCGATAGTCAGTGTTTTTCAGCAGTCAGTGCGTGAGAGCTTGCACGTGCCAGTGTGCTGCAGTATGCCCCAGTCTGCGGTGAGTCGAGACGGGTGGGGTGAAGGCGCGTCGCCAGTGCTGCACAGTTGCTCCAGTCTACGGTGAATCGAGACAGATGGAGTGTGACGGTGGGTCCGAGCTGCTGGTGCACACCAGCGGCCGACAAGTGAGGTACCAGTCGTGGGCTGCGGAGACCAGGTCGGGATGATGCCGTCGGGTGCTGCCGAAGGTCCAGGAAGCGTCGTTGAGAGCTGCGATGGAACCTTGAGGCTAATGCTGGCTTGCTGTGTGACTGCTGATGTTGCTTGACCTGATGAGGAAGGGGTATGAGGTTTGTTGGCTGCACTGCGATGGTTGAAGATTGCTTCTTGCTGCTGCTGTGCTCAGTCGAGGGTCACCAGTGTGGGAAGGCCAAAGGGGAAGACCTTCCTCCGAGAGCTGGGTGATGGTAGCTCGGGGGCCGCGGCCCGACTCATGGAGGATTTCCACCCAGGCGGGGGAGCGGGTGTGAAAGCAACTGATGTTGGTCGGGCATCGTATATATGGAGTGTTTGGCTCCGAATTTCTCTTGCGCGATGTAGGCTTTTCCATACGTTGTGAACGCAGCGCCGGTAGCGCCATCTCTTAAGGAGGCGAGTGACTATTTCCTCTATGTTCATTATATGTGGGGCATGTAGATGTCGCCGCCACAGCGTGTTTCAAATATTCCGCGGTAAAGATTTGGAACGATCTTCCACCGCCTTTAAGAATAAAAACCAGCGGCCGGATTTTTTAAAGCGAAGTATAAAAAGGCGTTAATGGAAAAACAACTTGCAGCGGAGGACTTGAGACACGCACACTGGAAAGATTTGCCTTGGATTCGGTTTTTCCACATTGTAACCTAACCTAACCTTCCTAGTCTCTTAAATTTTCCATCAATTTGACGCATGTACATACACAATATACAATTATTTAATACACACACGCACACACACACACACACACACACACACACACACACACACACCACAAACACAGTACACTCCAGGAGCTCTACTCTCTTTCTCCGAAACGATATTTCGGCAATGAACGAATTTTAAACGTAATTTCGCCAGTTACTCTACTCCAGCTATACTCTAAGTGTGTTCCGCGGAACCCTAGGGTTCCGTGATACCTCTGTCGGGGTTCCGCAAGAATTTAGAAATAAAAAAATCAAAACACCTCTCTCTGGTCGCTCCGCGGCTGTGCGGACTCCGCGGCCGCGCGGAGACAAAACGCTATGAATGTTATTTATTTATTTATTTGTATTTGTATAAGCTTGTGTTACATTAGCTGGTACAATATCTCATAAGTTTGGTCTCAACAATTTTATACTTGTACAACGCGTTCGCTCTAAGTTTGCCGGTCTGTGGAATGCGCGTACCCTCCCCCACGTGACAACAAAACTTATAATGTGTCATAGTTTTACCCAAATATCTAACGTACACAATTTTTATTGTTACAATTAAATAAAAAATTTCGAACGTCATACACTCATACCTATCGCCAGCGGCAAACTTAAAACGAGCGGGTAGTATACTTGTAAGCGCTCAGTCTCTTTGATAAAAGCCGCCTCTGAATTAGACGCTATAGTTGTCAACTAGCGACTTTCGTCTCTAACTTCAAAGGATAAAGTCGATATTGTTTACAACGCTATTTTTAAATTTCTGTTTTTATTTTTGCTTTTTGTTTATCAAAGGTGCCGACTCGAGTATTTTCGAGAATATTTGAGATCGAGTCTAGGACTAAGTATAAAAGCGGCGATCGCGCGTTGGCGTCGTCAGTTGATGATTAGCGTTCGGAGCGATAAGTTACTACCTACTTACAAGCTCGCTAGCGAGAAACTGGTGTTCATTGTTTTACTGCCTGCTGTATTCTGTTGTCTCAGTTTTATACATTTCTTCCCTGTAGGTTCTAAATTTAGTCTCTTATACGCAGTAACGATTGTGCATTATTTAAACCCCACTATCCTGACTTGTAACATTATAAATAAAGAAGAATGGAACGTTGGCTTAAAGGTGTTAAACGTGTTCCAACAACATCTTCTAATGACGCTGAATGTTCAAAAGCAATGCGCGCGGAGAATTTAGCAATCACCGATCCAGAAGATGATGCCACGAGTGCCACGACGTCAAGCTCGACGGTTTCAAAGACGAAAAAAAGGAAGTATGATGAATCTTATATCAGTTTCGGATTTGTTGATTCCAACGGCTCACCTCTCTGCATGCTCTGTAGTAAACTGCTTCCTAATAGTTCCATGGCACCTGCCAAATTGCGTCGACATTTAGAAACCGTACACCCCGAGACTAAAGACAAGAATAAAGAATTTTTTGTTCGCAAAAAAGATCAGTTATTAGAAAGTCAAAAAAATATGATGCATGTAACACAAACTACCAACGAAAAGGCCACGGAGGCATCATACTTAGTTAGCTATCGCATTGCACAAGCAGGTGAAGCGCACACTATCGCTGAGAAATTAATAAAACCATGTGTATTAGACATAACAAAATGTATGCTTGATGAAAAATCTGCAAAGCATCTTTCTACTGTTCCGCTATCAAACGATACTGTTTCACGACGAATCCATGATCTGGCAAGCTACGTCAAACAAGAACTAGTTACACGTCTACAAAATACACGATTCGCTTTGCAAATGGACGAGTCGACTGATGTCGCTGGTTTGGCTATCCTGCTGGTTATTGTGAGATATCCATATAAAAGTTCTTTTGAAGAAGACATGCTTATGTGTTCATCGCTGCTTACAAACACTACCGGGGAAGAAATTTTTAATAAAATAAATATATTTTTTGAAGAACATAATCTCAGTTGGAACAATTGCATTGACATTTGTACAGATGGGGCCAAGGCGATGACAGGTAAAACAGCAGGAGCAGTGTCACGAATGAAAAATAAAGCGCCTAATTGTAGTTCCAGTCATTGTATTCTGCATAGACAAGCACTTGCGATGAAGCAAATGCCGTCTAATCTAAAAT